TTTAAGAATCGGAGAACATAAGTACATATATGAAATTTAAATACTATAAAACATTTTTTTATATTATTCTAATAATTTTTCTAATAATTTTTCTCAGAGTTAATATAAATATATAAAAAATTTTAAACTGCAATCTTCTTGAGTCGATATATTAATATATTATTTAGAGATTTAAAAATTTAGTAAATTTCCTGATAAATTAAAATATTTAAAATTTAAAAGTTTAAAACACATTCATAATTCTTTCAAAACTCTTTCAAGTTTTACGTTATTTTTTGGTTATTAAAAATAATAACCAAAAATTAAGTAATTTGTATAATTTTTAAACGATTTTAAAAGTTTTGAAAGAAATTTATTCATCTCTTATATAGAAATACGTACTTATATACGGTCGGATAGTTCGCTCTTTAAATATGCGTTACTTAATTTGCGAGGTTCGCGGGAAGTGTTAGTAAAATCGCAAACCGAAGCTCGTCTAGATACATCTTGTTAATGTAATTTCGTTGAATATATATACAGGCGCACGTATATCGCATCTCTTTCGCGCAACACGCTCGGCTGAAGATACACCGACAAAAATCTACAAAGAGAAAATTTACCGATGAGGGCGAGAGTAAAGCGATGCGAACGCGCCACGTGAAAGGAAAGGGTTGCCTGTAGAAAAATAGAGATCTAACATTGCAAAAAAGAGAAAATTTTACAAAATAATTTTTTTCATGAAGAAAGAAGCCAGAGAGAGAGAGAGAGAGAGAGAGAGAGAGTTCTTTATTTGTTGTGTTTGGAACAAAATTCTATAAGAGACTAAGTGCACAGTGTGAACAAATAATAATGTAACAGTTAAAAAGGATAATAGAAATGCGTATATAATATAGAAAAATGTTTATCGAAAATTTAAGATTTTTAAGTCTAATTTAAGTTCTTTGCTTATTGTCAGTACAATTGTTTTCTTTTTAAAGAGGATTAATGAATTCTGAAAAATATTTAACGATCAAGAGATCCAATCTCATATTTTGGCTTCACAGATGATTCTTAAAATTCTAGAATTCCGAAGTGTGCTTCTATAAATTTTAAAATTAAAAATTAAAAACTTCCAAATATTTTTAAAAATTAATTTTCTTTTTTTTTTCTTTTGTTTTTCTCAAAAGAGTAATTGTGATAGCAAACGCAACTTTCTCTCTCTCTCTCTCTATTTATTAAAGTTTTAAGAAATAATTTAGCAAATATAAATTTTACAATAAACTTTTCAAAATATGCGTTAATAATAAAACGACAAAAAGATTATCGATTTTCAAAAAGAATTTGACGACCCTATTGCTTGAATAATAAATCTCTTAAATTTTCAATTGCGGTTAAGTAAAATGTGAGTAGAGTTTACAATAGAGTTTACCAAGGCTGCCTGAAATTATAGATGGAAGGAGGAAAACAAACGAGAGAACGAAGAGGCGAAATGGAGTAATCCTCGTGGTCGAGAGTCACGGATCCGAGGGTGGTGCACCCTGTATACGCGTAACAATAGTTTAATATTCATATTGTCACGTTTCGAATCAAAGGAGCGGCGGTGGCGGGCACCGCGTCCTAATTCACCGGACAAAAATTTGCTCCCTTTCAAGGGGGTGTACTCGCGTCGCTCGCTGATGAATTCACTCGAAGTCATTGACGCGACAACATCGCTGCACCACCGCTCTCACAACTCGGATTCGTAATTAAACTTAGCCCTCTACGGGTGCGTCTCAGTGTGTTTTCCGACCGATTCAAAAGCTAATTTGATGAAAGTGTTGAGACATCAATTGGCACAGAGCGATAACGGATCGGTATAATTTTAATGGTTTTGACGAAACCGTTTTTTATTAAATCTGTTGCGACTTGATACGGAAATATTATTTGTCAATTAATTTCAAATAGAATTTATATTAATAAAATCTTGATTCAGCTATATTTAACAATTGAGAAGACCCTTTTAGTATATATTTTTAACGTAATTTTTGAGATGTATTTTTTATGTCATTTTTTACAATGTACTTATTTTTTAGATATTATTATTAGTCAAAATATAAATAATAAAATAACAAATACGCAACTTATTTTACAATTTTTATATAACGGTTTTACATAATAACAAATAAATTTTACTTGTAAAAGTAGGTTTTTCACGAGTGAACGAAAATTTATCTAGCGAAAGTATGCAATATCATAATCTTTAAATTTACTTTCACGATTTTCCTTCTGTTATCCTCGTCAGTGTTGCCATATCGAGATCGTGAAAGAGCCTTAGGGATGTTAATTCGCGAAAGCGGGAAACGAGAGATATCAGAAAAGAAGCTTCTATTAATAACTTGTCAAGTTTTCCTCGATAAAACTTCCGTCGAGGGAGAAAAGGGCGACACGTCGTCGAGACATCCAACGAACCACGAGAGTTCACAAAGACCGCCGCTTTAACTTCGCGATTTTAGAAAAGGGGAGAACCTCCTCGAAGTAGCGAGGCGATCACGACGAGCGGAATAGTAGCGGAATAGTAGTTCGAATTCGATTGTCGTTTTGTAAAATTTGGGAAATCGCTTTACAATTTTGTATAACAAAACATAACCATTATATTGTCGAAACATTAAAAGACATTATCAGCACGTATTAATTACTTTTTTATATTCTTATCGTAAATTCTAAAATAAAAGAATATTTAATTATCGCCACATGGCTTCTGTAAGATTGCATTATCATATCTTTCAATTTTATAATAGAACTATCATTTAAATTTATATAATATAAAATTAATGTTATTATAAAATTCACATAAAATTCACTCTTGATTCCTTATGTGATTTGACAATCCCTTGTCCGTTCTTCTGTTTAACAGTACTGTTCTCTTTATTTAATTGATCGTGTGGTTATAATTTCAGTTTTTTTGAAGTCATTACAGTTATTTGAGTTTTGGCGAAATTTAAAGCGATCAATTTAAATTTAATCGATTTCATTTTATCTACTCTATCCAAACCTTTTTAACGTACCGATCCACCTTCGTTTATCATTCGAAGGATGCGACCGGCGCATCACGGCCTGTCCGCTATTTATTGCATCCCTCCCTCTCCTTCATTGGCGCCGCGCACCCCGCCGAGGAGGGAGGGGAAGAGGGAGAGGGTGAAATCGCAACGAGAGGCGGCCCTTCTAAGGACATCCACGATTGGGCGCTGAAGGGATGTGCCGGCCTCTCGGTAATAATCCTCGCGGTGTTCTTGGTCGCTCCATCGTTCGCATTTAATGAGGGATGGAACGAGCGAAAAGAAGAGGGTGGCGCGGTCCGATATTTTCGGACGTATCGCAAAGACATTTTATTTAATTCATCAAGAAGCGCGAATAAAGTATGATAAAGCGAGAAATGCGAGAAGCACATTTTTGAAATGCTAATAATTATGAAAATTCATCAAACACTTTAATAATTATGTATAATATAATAGTAATATATTTTCATATAAATGCGAATGCACGTTGCCCAAATTTATTATTTTTTAATTAACCGATAAAATAACTGGCGTTACTAATTAATTAATTATTCGCTTAAAATCTTGTTTGTGCTAAACGTCTTTGAACACATATACATACGTACAGCGTTCAGAAGCTAATTCGAAAATACTAGAGCAGGAAGAAAAGTATCGATACTCCGATAGCATGCACCCCCGGCCGCGACGCGGAACACCTGTGTTCGCGTCCAATGTTGTTCTCGACGACGAATCTTCGTGTCGTCATTTCGTTACCTTCGAAATATTAATCTTGGTCGTTGGCGAACACACGTGCGCGCCTCCAATCTGTACGACGACGACGACGACGACGACGGCGACGGCGACGGCGACGGCGACCACGACGACAACGACGAGCAGGAGGAAGAGATAGGAGGAGGAGGAAGAGGCACGAAACGAACATTGTGCGCACGCCATAACAGCGTAGCAATAACAGCGTTCCATTATATGTAGCTACACCGCGAGCGGCGAGATTGCAAAACATGCCTAGATTAATGTTTTCTCATCCCGCGGCTTTGTTGTGCAACGCGGGGGCGAAAGGAGGAGGAGGAGAGGAAGGGGGAAGGGGAGAGAGAGGGTACGGACGGATGGTGGCGCGGCGCACCCTCTGTCCCTCTCCTGCCTGCCTCTCGGGTTCTCTCCTGCCGCGTCCCTCGCTCCGCTCCGCCAACCCCCGCCGTTCTATATACAATCGCGTCATGCGACAATGAACAGTACGAATTACGTTGCATTCTCTTTTGCGGCTCTCTTCGATCGGCCCTCCGCGCGCGCAGTTCCGCGGCGCGTTATTATTCCGCGTCGCGAGGAAGAGAGTCACCGGCACGAAATAACGGCGCGACAGGTCCCGATTAATGAGTAAATTAGAAGCGATGTCGGCACAAATTATGACAATCTTACATATCGTATATATTTTATACTATATATTATTTACATTATATTTATACATTTTTTTCTTTTACACGCATATATATAATCTACATATGTATATTATATATTTTAATATATTACCTAAGTCATTAATGTATGTCGCGCACGTACTCGAAAAAATTTCGACCTTTATTTTTAAAAACAATTCTTTTTTTGATGCAATGAAACATTTTTCTCGAAAATGACAACTCAAAAGAATGGTACGTTTTGATCTTTTCATGAAGAATCACTCTCTTATTGGCTGCAACAGGATTTATCTTCTTTTATACGCGTTTTGAAAAAAAAAAAAAAACCACCGTGTATTCATCCCTGTATACTCTTCGCTCGCTGTTGTAGGCGCTACGCGAAAGAAAATATCAGGATGAAATTATTCATTAAATTTAATTTGCTAGCACAGCTCATATTTCATTAACTTTGTCAGTTTTCAACATAATATATATAAAAAGATTATGACTACGTTATATGAAAAAATTGCTAATTAGAAGTGATGAAAAGAAATTTAATCTGCGAAATTAAATACCTGTGTTTGATAAAAATAAAAAAAAGGAGATTAGAAAGAGGGAATTAAAATGTAGATTTTTTTATTAATATTCTTTTTTTACACTATATATGTATGTGTCATACGCATCTACGTCATCTAATTCATTGAATTCTTAAATTTACACACACAGGTTTGTTCAATTATAACAAATACTTTTTAATTATATTTTCGATGAACCAATCGGCCGTAAATTGTAAATGATCACCAGGTAGTGAATGATAATAGACTTTGCCGGCGTCTTCCATTGCGCGCAATCCGAGCCAGTCCTGCGAATAACAAATCGATATAACATGTGCATCGAGCGACCGTGTTTTTAAAGTCAATCGCGCGAGTCTATATACCTGTTGGTACAGCTCGCTTTGCTGCAATTTCTGCACCTCTTCCGCTTGGCCGGGCTTGTAGAATCCAAACCACTCTGTCTCTACTGGTTCGACCATCGTGTCGTTCTCGAATTTAACGAGAACTAAAGCTCGAAGCTTCTGAAGATTGTCCTTATACTCCTGTTATAATATAAATGATAAAAACATTAATTAATGCTTTAATAGCGTAATTTTTATTTTACCGTTACTATCTTGTAATTTTAACACGTTAAATTCTGTATCACGCGATGCTTGGATAAACGTTATGTAAGATACGTTGGCCTTTTTACTCACGTGTACGTGACGTAAGACGTGTTTCAGTATATTAATTCATATTAATTAAAAGTAGAATATATTCATGTTGTAATAAATTTAAATTTCTAATGTACGACACGTACCGTGTTGTTACCATTTTCATTATTGATCTCGGCAAGAAAGAGATTTTTCTTTTGATAATCGTTCTCCTGCAAGGGATCGTGCCAATAGGAAGCTTGTATCAGCGAGTTTTGCACGTACCTAGGAAAGAGATTAAAATAATGTATAAAATAATAGAGAGCGTGTCTCCGTTAATTAACTTCAGAAGGTCACGAGTGCGAGTACCACAAGTACGCGCCGAGATGAAGCATACGACGCATGTAATTGCACAATCGAGACGAGTCCGAGCACTTTGGTATGCCGAAAACACCTTGATGCTGACCGCCTAAAGATATCAAATTCAGCATTGGTGGATTGGGGCATCTTTGAGCTACTGCTCTCCTGTAAATAACGGCGGCGTTGCATAGGAAAAATTGATGTGGGCTGCTGCGAGAGATTAAACAGTTAATAAATAAAACAATTTACAGAAATTGTGCCCCTTGCGAGAAGCCAATGGCATTGTATCCATTTTGGAGGTTCGGGTCTTGCGACAGTTGCTCACACACGTGCTTTATTTGCTCGTTAATATTTCCAAAGTAGCTGTTCTCAACATCCTAATATAAAAAAAGACATTGCGTCTCACTTTTGCGTTAAAAGCAAAGATAAAATGAAATAACAGTGCGATGTTACAATGCAAATAACATATATAATTACCAAATGATACCATAGAATTTCGTAAAAAGATTTACATATCGGTAAAAATTAAGATAAACAAATTAAATATGAATAGATATTTGGAGCAAAAATATGAAATAGGATGAGAATAAATTTTATATCTATACAGAATGCTTTTCCAAATTAAGTTTTCGAAATTATTGACAATTATGTCCAACCTCTATCTCGTTGTTCCCGATACGTATGGAATGGACATAAACTCCAGGGATTTCATCTTGGATGATTTGCTGTATTTTTCCAAGACTGAAAGAGAAGCAGCAACTATCACCTGCAAAAGTTATATTTTTATCTTCAAACAAAATGAATTAAAAGAATAATTAAGGAGAAATTAGAAAGCTAAATATCCAAGTTAAAAAAAAAATTTCAAGCAAGTGTAAGGAAACATTTGCACAAGCGTCATCTATTAAAATACATATAGTATTTTTTGAAAAGATAAAAGATAAATCCAAAGCTTGAAAATTTGGAATCTTGAGATATTCGGAATATTAAATTAAAAGAAGTATTTATCTCTATAGAGAGGCAAAAATTTAAAATCTTTCTTCGTTATAAATCTTCCTCCAAATATTTATATTTTAAAAGATAACTAATATTTATCTGCTTGCAATTATAAAGAAACTTCTGTTCCCATATCACTTTATTTTTAAATGATAAGGATATCACAACATTTGTATGTAATAATGTATATAAAACGCAATAAAACTATAGTAAGTTACACAGCACGTTCTGCATAATAAGTACGTTTGAGAGCAGTTACAGAAACGTTTCTTAAACTAAATCCCTAAAATCAGATTTAATTCCAACGACTGCGCAGAAAAATTGTAGCTGCGAGGAACATTGCAACTCGATTACTCGTAAATCGTAGATTGGAGATTACAACACAAAATGTAATACCGGAGTGAAAAAAAATGCAGAAAGGCGCAGAAAGTGAGCGTTTAAGTTTAGAAAGTGAGGAAGTGGAAAATTAGAGAGAGGCAAAAAAGACCTACCCATTCCATGCCAGAGCACCACCGGCACCGGCGAACCGTCGGCGATCTTGGTGTTCTCCTCGCGCAAACAATGACCGGCGTTCACGTACAAAAGTATCACGGCGACAAACGCGCAAGTACGACTTATCGTCGGCTCCGCCGCGACGCGTGCCATGTCGACCGTCGACTGTGCTTATGTTTAAGCAACTAACGCGAACCGACACTTCGCAACGCTTTTTGCGACACCGTTAATCATCGCCGGACGCCTGGCACAGCTGGGCGCAGCCGAGCGCAGCTGATTGTGAGAGTGACATTCGGCGCCGCGCGCACACGTGAATACATGTTTTTGTCGCGACGCGTATGTGCGTGCATTCGACGACGACCGACGCGCCGCGCGGTCGCATCGCGAGGCACGTGGAACCGCGACGCTCGGTAATTCAGATTTCGCTGCGGCGCTTCCTGTGAATTTCATCATCTCCCCCTCCCACCTTCACCCTCGCGCGAATACTTCAAAGGCCAAAACTTTTTACTCTATACATATACTTTTTTAAAAAAAATTTAAATTTGAAAGTCTCAATAATGTTCTATTTAACCATGTATAATGACACAGACGATCAGCCAACATCCATATCACGTTTAAACTACCAGTTCTCGTCCGATCACTGAAGTCAAGTAACGTTGAGCACGGTTAGTACTTGGATGGGTGACCGCTTGGGAACACCGTGTGACGTTGGCACAATTTTTTTTTATAAAGTTTATTTATTTCGATTTAAAACTATTTTTGTTTCGTCCGATTGTGTAATTTGTTTGAATCCTTTATTGTAAAAAGAAAATAAAAGAAAAAAAACATATTTTTAGAAAAAGGAAAGGCAAGAATAGTTTTATTTAAAAATAAAGATACGAATATCCACTTATGAAATAGATATATAAATTTAAGTAATTTTTGTATTTTAATAAAGCCCGTATTTGATTTATGAAGAAAATTGAAATAATTTAAACGAAATTTTTCATATGCTTGCAATATATCGGATTGGTGTTGACTCACTCCCGTTTTCTAAATTCTATATATGACCCTTGCATTTTTACATACGATTGTAAATAATACAGGTCAGACTGTGAAGATTTATAACTACAAGATTATATATATTACAGATTAGGACTCGATCAATTAATATGTCAATTTACATGGCTACGGATAAATATGATTATTAGACATGCTATCGAAAAGACAGAAATTATATAGTATAAGAAAAAAATGAGATATTTTAGATAAAGATATATAAAGAAAAATAATATTGTGTATAAAGACATATATAAGATATATAAAAATATATAAAGATGTATAAAAAAAATAATTTTAAAACAGATAGAAAAATAGGTTGATATTCGATGCTAGTCAAACGTGATGGAAATCACAATTACTGCAGTACGATTCAAATGGTCTTGAATTGTAATGCGATTTTTTTTTTATATAGCAATACGCGAATCTTTACGGTCCGCCGTCGATCGTGAAAGCGCATCGCATCGCATCGTTGTTATTTCCGCGCATTAACGAATGCCATTCATTTCACCGCAGGGTTGGCGGAAGAAACGGATCCGGGAGGGTCTGCCGTCTCTCCTCTCGGTGTACGGAAGACGCCGCGCGCCGGGGCGGTTGAGGAGGCTGGTGGAGTGGCGAACCAGTGGCCGTTTTGTTTAGCGAATCGCCGCGATATCCGGAGCACAATGCGCGATATATCCGAGCCGCTTGTTCCGGGGGATACATTGTTTCCGTTCTTCGGCGTTCTGCCCGCGTATGGAAATGCAGTAATCACTTAAAGCGGATCTGTGCTGACGGCCATCGTCATCGGCGTATAAGCGGGGCGGGAAAAGGCCCGGGCATTGTACGCGATATCTCGTCTGCGCTCGTGTGGCTTTCCACGATTCTTCGCAATTCGTCACTCAGGAGAAATATTGTTTAACGACTCTTGCTAACAATTAAACTCCATTTGCATGCTGAAATTTATGTTCTTCAATCTTATAAAAACGATCGTAATTTCACATCATTTTGGTATTCGTTCATTCTTATTACCGAAGACAATTGTATTCTGATATATTGTTAATGAAAATTATCCATAATTTAAAAAAAGCAATTTAAAAAAGCACGTTCTGGGTATATCAATTTAATAATTTGAAATGAAATTAATATATATATATATATATATATATATAAAATATTAATTACAGTTTTATAATCTGTAATTAAACAATTAATTTTATTGTATCGGTGGAAGTTGATGGAGTTTAGCAATTTTCCATGATGACTTAAGTTAACAGTTGTTAAATAATCTCTTTGATGGTTCAATTAATCTATTAGAAATTGTAATCTCGGCAATTATATTTCTCACATCTAAGTATACTAATTTGTATAAATTGTCTCTCAAATTTATTTTGGACGGCAGCAAGATCAGTGCAGCATAGAAATACGTAAAAGAGCTGAGCAACAAAAGACGATATTTTTAAAGCGGTTTTCACAGACCGAGAATAGACGCTCCCGAAATCGTAATAAATACCGAGAGAGGAAAGAGATGCGGATAAGGGAAGCAGAAGGGTTGAGTTTGAGGAGGAAAGGGGGCAGGGGGAGAGACGGAAGGAGAAATCGATCGAGGAGATGATGAGGAGGGAGATCGAATATTAAATAGGTGGGCAACAGGCTCTGCGAGTGCCGACCAGTCCAATGAGTAACAAATTAACTGGAAATCTTCCTGATAAGACTCAGCTTAGGATGGTTGCGGTTAAGAAATTTCCTCCTCGCGGAGGAAATTTACTGCCCGTTTTTCCCCCCTTTCGCGCAATATTCCAGAGCATTACGCAAACTTGTCGAATTAAATTTACTCCGAGATACTTGTGGATACGTAAAAGGAGCTCCCTTTATAAATTTTATATTATTTTAGTTTCTTTATCGTGTAATCACGAAATATAGATTACGTTGTGCCAAGAGATTAAATAAGTTTTTCTAATATCAGTCTCCATTTTTTTCGTAAGAAAATATACTGTTTAAAAAATTTACTTTTAATATAACAAACTAGAGATTTACTATATATATATATATATATATATATATATATATATATATCACGCTCTTAAAATAGAAATAAAACAAAGTAAACTAATACCATCGGTTACATCTTATATATTAAATTTGCATCGTAAGTTTCTCGCAAAACTCAAGCGATTCGACAGCTCCTTAAGATGAAAATATTTCCCTTCCCGGCAATAAAAGGAAGATGCGGAATGTACTCTGAAAATTAACGGAGAGGCAAGGGTTTGGTCCGAAAATCGGCGCGGAAGAGTTCACCCCTTTACGTCCGCGGCCGGTGGCGGTACGCTGTGACGCGCGCTACCACCCCCTCCCGCCACCCCCACCCTCCACAGGCTTTCCGCGCTCCTTTCCGCCCCTCCGCTACACCTCCTTCCGCGGCGTAATGAATCCAGTTTGTCGAACTCCACCGCCTTCTCCGCGCGGCCTCGCCGCCGCCTGGATTTTCCCGATCTAACCATCCTAACCATCCATCCCAACCGCTCCATCCATCCGTCCGTCCGTCCGTCCATCCACACCGGTAACTGCGCTACGTGAACCACTGTGCTTTTCGGTGCCACCCCCGCGGCGGCGGCCAACCCGCGCAGTCATTTCGCATCTCTCCTCCTCTCTTGCAACCCTCCGCTCGCCACCCCAGTTCCCTCCGCGACCGCGCGGAGCTACGCCGCGCGCGCCCGATGCCCGTAATTACATCGAGTTTCCCTTGGATGTTGGAGGAACGTGGAGGGTGGGGGTATGTAAAGGTAGAGGGTTCTAATTAATCAGCTAGCCGCAACGCGCGCGAATCGTTCCCGGCACACGCTGCGGCACGCCTATAGGTTGACCGTCGACCAAAGCACCGTGGGCCCTCGCGCGCAGGGGGGTGGCATCCCTCTCAACCCCTCTGTCCTCCCCCGCGGCCTACCCGGCCGGCGTTGTTAACTCTTAGTTAGATGCGTTCACTCGCATATAGCATATAATTAGTCACGTGCACGATTTGCACCGTGATCGAGATATGGAGAGGGGGTTGTTCCTGAATTCGTTTATTCACAATTATGCAAACGTGAAAACAGGAAAATAAATGCAGGAAAAGACGAAAAAAAGGAATAAGAGTCTCGGAAAAAAATTACCATTTCAAATAAAACGCCAAAGGCGTTTAAATATATATGTGCTTAAAATCGCATATAAAAGCAATTCTATAATCGATGAGCAACGTAAAATGCATGCTTATTCACAAGAATATTCTCCTAATTTGTATGTATTCGAGCCAATATTTTTAATTAATAATAATAATATTTTTGCAATAAAGAGAGAGCAGCTTGAATATATCATATATATTTATCAGGCCGGTCTAAATTTTCAACTGGAACACGCAACGAAGGGTTAATCGGCTCATCGCTCGCCGCGGGAACGGGGGAAAATTGACGTTCTTTGTTGCCGCTTTATTCTCCGGTGGCCTTTCAACGGCGGATCTTCATCGCCCCCTTAGAGAGAGAAAGAGAGCTAGTGGGAGGAGAGGGAGCGAGAGGGAATTTTCGGGCAACATTGGTTTCAGGCAATAATTACTCGTCGGAAACCACTAAGCTGCAGAGAATACAGGACCGGGAGGTTTCGCCTCGGCCGCAGCTGCAGTAGCGTCGTGCTAATGAATCTATTTTGCTCGTTCTCCATTTCGATCCTCTCTCTCTCACCCTCCTTCCTACACCCTTCGTCGTCCTCCTTGAATTTAAGCCCTTGGTATCGAAACGAAGTTATATCAGCGACACTTTGGCTTACTGATGCGGTAGAGCAAGAAAAGAAATATTGATCGACGTGAATAAATCTGTACTTTAATTATTTATATACTTATATATCGGCATAATGTATCGATATAATTATTGTTATTCTTTGCAACTAAACTTATACATTTTATATATATATATATATACTTCGATCATCATACTTAAAATGAAATAGCGATATACGTTTGAAGTTTAATTAGCGAAAGCGAGAAAGAAACGATATATTATAATATATATATATATATAATATATATTTCTATAGATGGATTTATGGACAATTCATTTCTGCCTGGGACATCTTTATATATATTTATAATTTTTAATTCGTTTAATTTAATTTAGTTATGTTTTAACAAACTCTCTTCCTCTGCGTTTATTTTTTTATTAGTTTCTAATTCTGTGAGATTAATATCTAATATTTATAAAATATATAAAATTTATTTATTTATTTTCACAAAACTTAATATATAATATACACAAAAAAAATTATATGTAAGTAAAAATATTAATGCCGATAATAAGACATCTAGTTGACCGACTGTTATTAGCAAATAATTCTTCATATTTCAGTTATCTGTGCAGCTGCTGCAATTATATTATATTAATCAACTATCGGTAATTTCAATGAAAGATAAATGCGGAATGGTAAAATGTAAAAATATTTCTTTATCCACAGAGCAAAAGTGGCGGGTATCAATGTTTTGAGCGTCCTATGTGTTTATGCTCGCATTAGTCATCTAACTGTCATAACCGTAACTTTTTGACTCAACATGGACAATGATTATTATTCCACCGTATATACATGGTAAGTATATAAAAAACAGCCTACATAATAATCGTATCCGATTTTGCGGTGAAATGAAAAATTCTCGTCAAGGTTATATCCATATTTCAGTCCTCAAAATAATGTTTATATTGAATACCATTGAACAGTCAATGAGATTTCACGCAGTATAATTTAAAATTATGATCTACAAGTCACAATCTTTGTATATGATTCGCTACGTAAATGATTCTATACTTACGTTCGCTCGTTGTAGCGTCAATTTAGATGTATATCCACTGTATCTGCTTCACAGGTTCGAGCAGTGCGGGGTTGTATCCGACGTCAGGACGCACCTGCGGCAGAACCTGGTGAACGCTTTGAAGCGTAAGGATCTGAGGCTGTGTAAGAGTAGGGAGGCGAGGTCAGCGAAACAGTACGTTTACGATATGTTAATAGCCGAGTATCTGTTTAGTCACAATTACTCCTTCACCATGTCGATATTTGCTAGCGAAGTTCCGCTTTTAGTAAACTTTTGCAACAGCAACGTGCCGCAGGGCGCCTCTGACGCGTGCGACAGAGGCGGTGGTAGCGGGCGCGGTAAGCTGCAAAGCGATTACATAGCGCACACGCTGGAAACCCTGGGCATTGATCCCAACCGGCCCGAGGGCCAGTACATTATATCGAATTACCTGAACAGCGAGGCACCGCTGTTGCTATCCATTCTGAGCTCGATAGCCGCGCTCGTCACCGACGCTCAGTCGTCGACCAGAAGGTCCATGTACGACAGGGAGACGCAGGCTAATCTAGCTCTGGAGGCAAATCTTGTCGACGCGTCAAAAATCCGTGCAATGAGGAAGAAAATTGTGCAACAGAAACGGCTGTACGACGACGAGTTGAGGACAAAGGAGAGCAAGCTGAAGCAGCAGGCCACAGTTATAAAGCATCAGCTTGGGACATTAAATGCAAAAGTGGAAGAGGCTCAGGTAATGCCTTCAATCGTGTACATATTTAGTATAAGATATTCCATATATAATTGTCGTGTCATTCCTTGGTAATCAATTTTACGGTAGACAAAGATTCTATTTTTATTAAAGACTATTGCTTATATAGTTTTCACTCAGAAGATCAAGTTCTGATGGGAGATAATCTAAATATCTCATATTACTTTATCATATTTCTTATAGTTTTTTTCACTAAGAAAATCAAGTCCTGATAGGAAATAATCTAAATATCTTATATTACTTCAGCATATCTCTTATATTATTTTTCCTTATGTCTTTATTTAGAATTTAATGCAATCCTTGGCTCTGAAAGAGAAGCAGCTGAAAGAAAAGAAAGACAGTAATGCACAATGTATCCTGCAGAAGGAAATGGAGCTGTCTATGAAACAAAATTTCTTAACACAAGAAGCTAACAGGTACTTAATAAAAGCAAGAAAATCTTATTTCTACAAATAATAGAAATACTAAAAGTAATTAAATACAATGACAATTAACATTTCCATAATTCCTTCTATTTTTCTGGTTTTCTATTCTACTCTATATATTCTATTACTTATCTTAAATTTTTATCTGAAATCAATTTCTGCAGATTGCAGAGAGAACGCGACAGTTACAGGAAGTTCGAGGGTGGCTTGAAGAAACTGCAACGAGAGCTCGTCAAGATGCAGAAGGAGATGTCGCAGGGCACGTCGAACCAGGGCGCTCAAACTGCTCAAAGTAATCTCAGGGACATTCACGTGCAAACCGACGTGGAGAGCCGCGGGATAATGGACGAGTGCAGAGCTCTGCAGAGGGAGAAGCTGGAGCTGGCGAATCTCGTGGAGGAGCAACGATCGAGGATCGAGCAGATCACGCAGCGCAGCGCCCAGTTGTCACGTCAATTGCAGGAAGTGCGTTTGTTGCAACCGCTCGAGATACCGGTGGCTCGAATCGCGAGCGCGAATGCGATCGTCAGCGAGAGCAGTTCCACGGAGGACATTCTTCAGGACGCGAAAATGCGGCTGAAGCGCCTGGAGGAGGAGAGCTCCAAGGCCGATCAGTATTTCTGCAGTTTCGTTAGCGCATCTTCGTAGCAAAATAAGACATTTCCGAAGCGTATCGTTTATTAATTTATTTATTACTGCACGCACAATTATATTCAACCTTGCGAATTATTACACTTGACCGCAACATCGCTTGCGAAGATTTATAAGCTTCTTCACCCTCGGAAGAAGTGACAATTGAAACAACATGTATCGTGTATCGAAAGACATGTATCAAAAATTGTAATCGGACATCTAGATAATTTATTTTATAAAATTGGATGTTTTAAAACATATAATATACAAATTACCGACTATCCTTCTGCTTTATTTTTGAATTCTACGTTCATTACATGCAACATCAAACATAGCATAGAAAATGTTAAGTCGAGCTTCTCTCCGTTGTTGATGTACATCATCTCCGTTTCGGGTCTGAACTCCTTCTGGTGCACTTGAATTAAGGATTATACCGAGCACTAGTATTTTCTCGTGCATAGGACAAATCATACAGTTATTGAGCAGTTAAGGATTTTTTTTCAAAAAAAAGATAAAACAATGAAAATTATAGTTATAAAAAAAGGCAGAATATATTTTGCGTTAGAAAGTGTTCGAAACATGTGTATTACAAACTTCATAAAGCGGAGTAAATACACAAGACTTACACTTGGATAATGTAATTAAGTGTTAAAATTATTGCCATACGTTCGCTTATACATATTCAAATAAAAAATACAATTAACAAACATAATTTTTATGTTCACTGATTAACCGTATTAATATACATATTACAGGAAGATCTCTTAATTTATAAAATGAGAAAATGTCTTACAAAAAAATAATTACCTAACTCAATAATTGTACGATTCATTCTATGTACATAGTACATAAGCTACTTTAACACTTAATTAGGTACAATGTTTAATATACTGACTTATTACAAGTATCACAAATATTATGTAATATTATTGTGTAAAATCAACTAAAATTGTGTAAAAAGAGCAAAAATAATACTCGTAAAGCCGAAATCAATTAAACATATAGAAAAGGATATTGTTTATCACGACTTTCGCGCCCTTCGCGTTCATGAGGACGATCCTTTGCGTACGGAGATTTTTCCTGAAAATACATGTCTTGAATAAGTCTTCCGAATGCCATGATTTCTTGCGACTGACAGGGGAGGGAATAATTGACATCTACACTTTCTTGCTTTTTGCTATTGCCGCCCATTTCGTCCTTTTAATATACTCGAAGTAGACATCTTTATCAACTATGAAGTAATAATAGAAAATTGTTAAGAAAATGATATGTAACTTGATTTTTTTTTCAAACAAGTCAGCTAGTTAGAAAGCACAAAAATAATTGTGGTTTCTGTATCAGAAACCACGTTTATTACGATGTATAAATGAATAAATTTCATTGTGTAAAAAAAATCGATAATGTATGTGTGTTTCACAGGACGTAGAGCTGCAAATATGTTTTATATATTTTTCTACGTGTTTGAATAACTTGCATTTTTTCTTATCTAACATTTTTATATTTATTATCGATTTGATCATGCTGCATATTTCTTATAACTAAGGACTTTTATTCTATGTGCCTTGTGTTGTTCTAAAATATTAGTGGATATGTGAATTTTAAAGCACAGTATATATAATAATAATAAAATAAAAAATTGTATATGCAGCATAGAATTTAATTGGATAAAATTTAATTGGATTATTCTAATTCTGAATAATATATATTAAAGCAAGATTTTTTAAACAATTATAAAGCAGAGAAAAGACAAATAATTAGTCACAAGTGTGGCAGAAAATTAGCGGAATAAAATTGTAGTCCATAACAAATCTCAAGAGAAAATGTATAGTCAATTTGTTAACAGAGTTCTCCTCGACCGTTTAATAACATTATTATAAATAATGATTAATATGACTGACCTTACTGTAATGATGCTTTTCTCTATGCTCAGGAATGTCACCGTTCTGATGCGCACTTTTGGCTATAACAAATGTAATATGATATATATTTCAATATGTATGTATATTTATTACAAATATTCGTTGATATGTGAACCTATACTTTTTGTAACAATAGCGAAAATATAATCACAAACCTCTTTCGTCATCTTTTCTCCGTTTTTGCTCGGTGGTTGCTATGGATTCCTCTGCCCGATCCTAATTGATTATTTAACAATATATATATATTTAATACATGTATATTTTTTCGTACAGTACGTATAATGTTCGCATGTAAATTAAATCGTAAAAACATAATTACCCTTTTTCGTCCCTGTTTCTTTTCCCTGCGCAGCTCTTTCTGTTCGTCACGAGCTTTCCCTTTGGAACGTTCTTTCTTATCAAGAACAGTCTCCGCACGTCTTCCTTCCTGCTGAATACACAAATATTTATACAGAGAAAACAATAAATAAAAATTTAAATACATAATGTAGAATATAGTCACCTTTGGAGCGCTCTCTACTTTTCTTCTTTTTATATCTGAAATTAAATAAAAATTATATTAAAATATGTGAGAGAGAAATAAGAATGTTTTTAAAAAATATTCATAATATGTAGTATTAATTTAATATTATTTTCACAAAAACATTTAATGTATGTATACAATTATATATATAATTATATATATAATTAATCTGATATATATATTTAATGTTAGATTTGATTAAATTATAGTACAAACCTCTTTCAGGACCTTCTTGTACAGGACCCGAACTAGCGCTACTATTTGACACACTAGAAAGATCTCGGTCTAAATTGTCTACACTGCTGCTGTAATAGTGCTCTTCCTAAAAATACAAAATTTGCATTTTTATGTATAATTAATATATTACTGTATGATTCATCTAAAACTAATGCAATCAAAATTAGAAAAAACTTCAAATATATTGATTTTAAGACTAACAATAAGTTAAAATTTTAAAATTATAAATTATACAGGGTAGATACACAAATAATGTAAAAGAGGTGATTCATTAAGATAAATTTAAAACAAAAAAATAAAAATTTCATATGTGCATATGTTCGAAACGGCTTAATTTCAAAAAATCGTTTAAACCACGAAATTTTTCCTTCAACCATTAAAAGAAAAATTTCATTTTTCCAAAAATTTCGAAAAAACACTCGGATTATTTTGATGAAATTTGAAACATACACAAAGTTCATCAAAATTCATTCGAGTGGTTTTCAAAAAAATAAAAAAAAACAAATTTTTCCTTCAACTATATATTCTGTATTTTTGAAACTAAATTTTGGACGTATGAAGTTTTCGTCTTGAGTTTGTATGAAGAATCATCCCTTAAAATCTTTTATATTATTTAATATTCATCCTGTATAATAATAATATATTTCGTTTTTTCTTGTGTATAAAAGCGTGGTTTCACAAAGCTTTTTTTAACACTAATTTTATAAAAAGGCATTTACGAGATCACGCTTATTATTCTTTTATTCAAAATTACATTTTCTATTCAATTCCAATCTAAAGTTTTTTGGTCTTGAAGCACTCTATGTAAAAAATTTCAACATAATAATTACCTTATAATATTTGCGCTCCTTTTTATCTAATCCCTCATCGTCTTTCACTTCTTCTTTTTTAGCATATTTCTCCTTTGGTTCCGGAACGTCCTTACTGTCTTCTTTCTTTTTGAACTTTTCGGAGTTTTCACTATTCAAAGAATTGATATCGTTATAATATTCTCATTTATGACCATTATTTATTAAATTTCAAAAACAATTACATCTTTATTCAATTTCATTAAATTTTCTACAAAAAAGTATAAAAAAAAGTTTAAGATTCAACAAGTAATTTCAAATACGATGCGGTATTCAGCAATTGTATGCTTGTAAATGTATTCCTTACTGATGCGTTTGATTGGAGGAACTTCGTTTTTCTCGTTGCTCCTTGTTTTCCTTTTCTGGTCGAGCGTCTCCATTGTTATTTTCTTTCACCGTTACTCCATTGCTAACCTTTTCACTCGTTTCATTATTCGTTGTATCTTGTGTTTTACCAGCCTGTAAGAATAAATATAATAAAATAACTTTCTTCTCAAAAATTTTTTAAAATGTGGATTTTCTCTTTGAAAATTTATTTTTAAATTTATATTGATTATATAAAAAAAATTTTTTATTACTTTGTCGCCTACATGGTGAAAGTCTGATTCACGTATCATATTGGGAGTTTTAGCTTTCAGTTGCCCACTGTACGACGTGGCTAGGACGTGCAAGTCCTGACGCTGGCCACGCTCCTCCTCCCTCACCTTCTCCACCTTTCGCTCGAGAATCTGAGAGAGTTTCGCCAAGACGGGAAAATGTGGCAATATCTTGATCAATATTATCAAAGAATTTCTTATTTGCACATAATCCTTAGAATCTAGACACACTACAATAGCCTGTCAAAGAAAATATGTATTAATTTAATCGTAAGAAAATTATTCCCAGCTTTGAATTAGTATTTTTATATGTTCAAATATATATATAAGATGTATACAAAATCGCGCAAATACCTTTGTGATCTTATAATGCCACTTGTGACACACGTGTCTGTAATTTTCAAATCCGACCATATCATTCGCTTCGGAAAATTGATTGCTCACGCGGAACTTAGTCACGAAACCAGGATAATTACTGCATTCCTACGCAGTGGAAGATACTTGTTAATATATACTCAGATTATTAAAAAGAGTGAGGCAGAATGTCCCGAAATTCGCGAATTAAAATATCATAGCAACAAAGTTTTCGCAAAATTGAGTAAAAAAGTTATTGTGAATTTTTATTTTAAGTAGTAGTTTTTGAAATACGAGTTTAAATTTGGCCAATTATAGATTACGGGGTTAAACGGAAATGTGTCCGTGAGTAGCGCGTCGATAGTGTTAGTGGTCGCGCACTTCACGCACGTAATCTATAATTGACCAAATTTAAACTCATATTTCAAAAACTACTGCTTAAAATAAAAATTTACAAATAACTTTTTTACTCAATTTTTCGAAAACTTTGTTACTAAAATATTTTAATTCGCGAATTTCGCGACATCCTGTATAGAAATACAAAAAATAATCGGAATATTTAACAACGTAAATGTCTTCTAAAAAATTTTCTTCTCTGAAGATCTCGCGAAATGGTAATTCGTAACTTACCTTATCAAATATGGCCTTCTCGGAATGCCATCTCATCACAGTTTCCAGCATAGCGCATAAAAATCTGCCATAACGATTTGCTTCGTTCTCTGTGCACGAAGTGACTGAATATGTAATATCACAGAAAAGCTGAAAGAGAGCCAAATAAATGTATTTTGCCACATTCTAGTGTCCATAATAACACATTAATGAATACTAGAGAGTGCTGCCTTACACGATCGTAGCAAAGCAGAGTTGAAAAATTTGCAGTCTTCAGGGAGTGGATGGTATGTACAAATTTCGCGCAGTACATGGCGTCCACAGTTGTGAATGTACACCGCGGGAATAGGCACAACTGTAGAAACTGTGTTATCGTTTCGTTTTTTGCAGATTTAGCGCTTCGTGATAAGAACCATGTATCCTTTTCTTGTCTGCAAGTCAGTTACAAACGTACGGCCGTCATTATTAAAGTATTGAATTGCTACATTACAACAATTACGACAATTACAATATTATACTTATATAAGAGATTGCGAGATATTTTACCTCAGGTACGCAAAAACTTTTTCAACGTGTTCCTCTTGCTTCTTCTTTTCGTCCTGCAGCTTCTCAATAAGAGTGGTGTATCTTTCTTGTTCTTTCTTTCCTTTACTTACATTCTAAAAAGTTAGTTTTAACGTTTGAAATGCATTATTTTTCAATATCCATAGTGCCGTACAATCAATAATAATGTAAATGTGTAATATTCGCATACCATGTCTTTGGAATCGGCGGTTTGCGCTGCAAGTTGCTTCAACTTGCCGATCTCTCTTTGATAGCTTTCCACTGGCACGTACAGATCAAACATCGACAGAGACCAAAATGTGACTAAGAATTGCGGCGAAATGTCCTCCCAAACTTTCAGAGGGTGCAACGGCTTGACAGACTGAGCGACAGGTGCCATAACGGTTTGCGCGGCTTCCGCGTACTTTAATTGCTTCATAGCCGTGGACATTTTCTTGTAGTTCGGATCAGCTTTACGGAGAGCATCATATTTTATCTTTGGGAGAGAAAAAGAAAATTTAAAGATTAAAACGAGACCCGTGGAACAAGATACGAAAATCCATGTTAAATCATGTTAAATGTAATTAAAAAATTATAAGCAATGTTCAAATATCTTTTAAATAAATTGAATGGCTGATTTATTTAATAATAATACTATCAGAAAAATGACAATCAAACACAAATATAAATCACTCGCTTACATTTATGGCATGCGCGAACATTGGCCGCGCCAGAAAGAATGCGACATCCGCATGTATATGATTGTCCTGGAGCATAGAATGGATAGAAGGTAGTCGCTCCACGTACTCGTCTACTGTCATAGTCGAACCCAGGAAAGTCCCGAATTGCACTAGCGTATCCTGGCATTGATCGTACAACTTGCCTATCACACGAAAAAAAAGTCAAAAAATCGTTAGTTTATAGAAGAAAATTTTTATTTTATGACTCCGCGTTTAATATTCTATTTACCAACGAGTTTTAAGTGAGATTTATCTGTCTCTCTGTACACAACGCAATGTTTTTGCTGCGCCATTAACAGGCACAGAGCGACCGCGAGATCTTGCTCGGCAAGAGCTTCCTTCAAACGCTGCGAGGATTTCTTCGTGTTGCGGACTTGACTGAAGTAACCGGCCTTAAGAGGAATAGTTTTTTTTTTATATTAATTTGTCTGCGTCACGGAATTACATTATGACATTGCATATTCATGCGACACCGCGATTTACCTCATTTTTCAACAGATCTCCGCCTGCCATAGCATCCAGTTGATCAGACGTCATTTCTTCGGCCGCCTCGATACCAGCCATTTTTTGTACTATTTCTTTTAATATTAATAGATCTAGGCTGAAATCAGAGCGGTACATATTAAAGCAGCAGCAGCAAATTGATTTAATAGTTAGATTTACTGTCAATCTCTCTCGTTTATCTACGTAAGAACGTACCTCTTTTGAGCTTTAAGTTGATTCGCTACGTATTGTAACAACCCTGTTAATTCGATGTTATACTTCTTAAATATCGCGCCGCAAAAAGAAGCCAGAGATTGCAGCCATAAGGATATACTGGTGCCGTCGTGTTTAAATCTATCTCTGTCAGCGCCCGCTAATGCCTCTACGAGACAATATCCCAACACGTCGTACGAGATGTTGGTCAAGTATTTTAAGGAGTCCACCACAGGTCCTGCGTCACAAATACGATGAACAACGTTACGGTCGTTCTTTGCGAAAATGCGATTGCGACGAATGTAAGGCGCGATATACGTACCTATCAGGTTGTCATACAACTGGATCTGTATGAGGACGTAATCGAATAATACACCTGGCGAAGAATGCGTAAGCTTGCCTATCGACCGGCCGACCGGCTTGATCGTCTCCTTGCTCACGCGCTTCATGATCGACTTGATCTTCTTTTGAGCATCCGCACGCTTCCGCAGCAGCGCGGCGTGCTGCAACGGCGTGTCGTTCTTCCAACGCGCGTACAGACAGTAGCGATTCTGATAGGGATAGTACTTGAGGATATTCCACAGCTCCTCGGCGACGCAGCAGTTGCAGTCCATGAAGGACAGGGAGGGTAGCAGCGCGACATCGAGTATCGTCAGTACGTCGTAGTACAGGCTGCAGTTCTTGTTCAACGGTTGCTTGCTCGCGTCCAGCGGACAGTGCTTGATAGCGGTGTGACACAGTCTCATCACCTTGTACATTAAATTAGGATCTTGGTGCAGATTCGGCCCAAGTACGATTAGCATCGGCAGCAGGTGATCGTGGATGTCCTCCAGATCGCACAGCGACGGCGGCGCGAGGGAGCTCTTTAACGGAGGCACTTTACGACCCGGCAATTTTGGAGAGATAATACAGTGTCTGAAACAAATCAATTGAAAACTCGTGATTAGAGCAATTGTTACCAATACTTTGCAACATATAGTTTCTGTTCAATAATATGTAATTCTATGATTTACCTTGTTAAATAAGCTATATATATATATATAGATATTAGTAACTTACTTTCTGTATACAGGTTCGATAAGAGCCTGGATCATTTTGCATAATGCCAGAGCGATGGGACGTTGATCCGTAAAACAATAATCTGGCAAGCGATTGAATAGACTTTGTGCCACTTCCCAAGCTCCAATTTCCAAAAGTGCTTCGCACAAACCAAATTTTTGATTGCTTGCATACTTGTCCTTTAAAAACAAAATTAAAATGTGAACAATTAATCATATATAATTACTAAAAAAATTCATCATATATAACTACTAAAAGAAGAGTAAATGTGCGACTTCAAAATTGGCTTTATTTTTTTCACAGGTTTCGCACACAATTCAAAAGTTTAATTGTAGAAATTTAATTACAAAATTAATTTGCAGATTAATTTTCGACTAAATAACAATCGACTGAATTCGGATTTGTGATATTAATAATTCGTGAAATTTCTCTTTGCTTATTACTTGTGCATTTTCCCTCTCCTCCACAATGTCCTCCTTGTCTTTCGTCGAGATGACGCTCAATTTCCGCACATATTCCTTGGCCTGCTTCATCACCTGCTCGTGATCTGATATGATAGTTTTATCGTCCGGCACTAGCCAAGGTAATATGTCGTCCAGTTTAATCACACCGTGCTGCAGCATGAGCGCGGTGACCTTCTGCAGCGAGAACGGCGTGGCGTTGATGGTGGAGCAGTACTTAAATCCTAACACCTCGCAAAGTACCTGCTGATCGCTCATGTATGAACGTATTAAGGGAATAAACAGAGCGTCGTCTTGTGATCGGTTCTCGAAAGTTTCTAACAAGATGTCGAGGACCCTATTGGGATCAAGATTGAAATAACCTGCAAGGGCAACACCACCTTGTATGTACTTCCGTTACTTTTTTCAACCAACTTGGATACTCGCAAGTTTTTATTTTTTATTGAAATTGTACGATTTCTTGCACATCGTGAGAAAAAAGCAAAATTGTTGTTGTTGAATAAAAACATTGATACTCATACCAATAAGGGATTTAACAATTTCCAATGTCGAGGCCACCTCACTGTCCGGACGCTCCTGATTTAACTCTACAATGAGCTTGGAGTAACCCTCGCTCTCCTCGCGAAATAAATTAAATTTCCTTTGTTTATAACTGCAAAAAGGCGAACGGACTGTAAGAAACTCGTTTACATCACGAATAAGCTTTCCGTGAAATTGATTGGGAAATACTCACTACAGCTTTGTTTTTACTTTTATGAACTTGGTTTGAAAATTTTTGTTTTTCAATGTCCCTACATCTTGTAAAGTTTCAATCTCTAAACGTTCTTTCAATATTCTATCGGTCAAAAACTGTGGGGAATAAATAAGAAATTAAGGTAATACATTAGAACTTGATCTCTCAATTAATTAAAATAAAAGTAGTAATTCTAGATTACTTTAAAAATACATTTTGTAAGTACATCTCTTTCCAATATTCCTTCTTTTCAGTAACTTTTGCAATATCTTTAAAAATATGATACAGATTTATAAAGATGATTTGTAAGGATGAAAATAAACATGTATACCTTCTCACATTCTTTCACAATGTAATAAAAATTGTTCCTTTCTTCATTATGTGCCTCGGCGTCATTCAAAGTAAATATATCTGTTATTGCAGATGGTATGGAAGCGTCAAAGCTCTGCAAATAAATGGTATATTATTACAATACCGTTCACTTTCAAGATGATTGTGTACACAGCTTAAGATAAGAAAAGAAATCTCGTCGTACCGCGAGTTCACCTAATGTCTGAACCACACTGTCCTTTTTTACGTTTCCATGGATTCCATTTGATATTAATTCGTATATTCCACGTCTCCATTCTAAAAAAAAGGATAAAAATCTTTTGTCACAACATACAATATCAAACGTAGTTCGATGCACAAGCAAATATAATCTAAATATGAAACAATACACGTGTATGCGGATAAACAGTGCAAAATATAGATGCAAAATGAGAACTTATAAAATAAATGTGTAACTCTTATCAATTTCTATCTCATTTGTAAACTCTGTGCAAGAAAAACAAATAAAAAAATTCATCGTTGTAACAATATTCCAATTTTAAGTCATCTATCATATATATTACATATATATATATATATATATATATATATATAACAATTTAAATTATTTTAAACAAAATGCAATGCACGTAAGGTGAATTAAACAGAAAAACAATGAGATTTCAACAGAAGGAACAGATTGTATCGAGATAATTACATCTGCTCCGACTATTCGCTCAAGAGAGAAACGTACGTATAATTCATAAATAAATAAATAAGAAATTGATAATCGTATCTGTTGTCGCGAAAATCGAGGGGACGCGTGAAAACCGGAGTTACGCCGAGGCCGTGCATTACGTAGGTACGGTGAGGAAACTGGGATACGAGGGAGGCCGTGCTCGCGGCGCGTTCTCGCGGGAGGGAGAAAAAAAAAACGACAATGGTGCGGATCGTATGTACATGCTGTGCGTACGCGGCCAGAGAGCGTGTGTGCACTCGCGGCCCTTATTACCTGGTGTGTTGCCTTCCTTAAATTTGTGCTTGATTAGCTTGAGGCTGCAAACAGTCGTGAATTGACAAATTAAGTCTTCGGGTAGAGCGAGTTTAACGGGGGGAAGTAGATAAGTGTTTTCGCGAGCCAGCAAATGCACCGTGTCGATCGCGTCGACCAGGCGACGCGCTTAACAACACCACTTACAAATCGTTTTTTCCATGCTTATCCCATGACTTCCACAATTCTGTATGCCATACTTTGCTAGCCATATTTAGCGCGCTGGTCCGTTTTAAAAAAATGGAGCTTCGAGCGTGCACCGGGGGGATTAAAAATCAACTCGACATCGCAGCGCAGGTTAACGGGTTGAGAGAGTACGTATTTTTTCCAGTCGTTTCGCCACTGTGTGGTGCGCGAAGCCAGCCAGCGATGAAGCGCGTCCCCAAAGTCCACGAAGCGTGCGGCCGCGTTTTACCCCGGGGGATGGGGGGGGAGAGGATGTTGCGCGTGCGTCACGCGGCGCGCTCGGCAACCGCCAATCGGAGTCGTCGGAGGTCGCCCACGACTCCCGCAATTCGCAGGTTTCCTTCGATTACGCGCGAGTGCTCTCGAGTGACGTCACGCGATGTCCAGTAGCGCCAATAGCAATGTCGGGGGAGAAAAGTGACGTCACGCGATGTCCGGCAGCTCCAATAGCAACGTCGGGAAATAACGCGCGACGGCCAAATAATTGTCCGTTTATCCGGAAGTAGCAGTGAGGTAGACGATATTGGTTTTTATGTCATTTTTTTTTTGCTTTTTGACACGCACGCACCTGTTATAAACAGCGTTTTAAATATTGGGCTCGTTACGCAATGCTCAAATAACGTCAAAATATTTACAATTAATTTATTCGTGGTAATAATAAACTACGTAATTTAAAAAAATATACAATAATATTAAATTTAAATAATTAGTTTGTTTAAATAAACGTAGAGATAAGTTGATTTATATCATTTTAATTGTAGGTATTCTCTGTTCAGTCTTTATTCGTGTGTGTGTGTGTGTGTGTGTGTGTGTGTGTGTGCTTTAAGTCCTGAAACACAATAGATGTATAAGCCTTAAGCCGTACGAAATTGACCAATCATAATCCATTATTCTCTTCAAATTCAATGGCGATTGGTCCATTCCTTACGACTTAAGGCTTACACTTGTTGTGTTTCGGGACTAAAATAAAATATTTAATTTTTTAAAGCAAAAATTTGCATATAATTTAATTTAATTTTTCAAATAGACTTTGATTTAAACCGTACATCTCACAATTAGATGAAATTTTTATTATTTTATTTCATTATTTTTATTTAATTATAATTTTTATTACTTTCATGCAGCTAAATAACAAGAATAATTAATGTTACATTATAAAATGGTTCTGAATTTAAAACTTAAGTAGCATTAAAATTCTATATTATACTTATGAAAGTCGCGAACTATGAATGATGTATAAGAGATGCACTTGGAATAATTTTAGGAACACCGGCAAAGAGTGACGAGAAGCGAGTAGGTGGCAGAAGGTGCAGCTCTTTTTCGTTCGACCGTACGACGAGGAGGTAGTTGCGATTTATTGTAGATTATAATCCTTAAACATCCTTCTCTGTACCATTTGCGAGCACTTAAATCGTGTAAAATATTATTCGGTAGATCTTCCCTTCGTGAATTAATGTCGCAGTAACGAGTATATCTGATCCCTTCGGCCGTGAACACGTGACAATTACGTTTGTTGTCGCACGTTATGACAGATTTATTCAACACCTCAAATCCATTACGTCCGAATAATAGCAACAATAAACTGAATAGCGTTAAAAATTCGTTGCATACGTGAGACATATAGATTTTATTCCGTCCAATTAAAGATACTGATTGTATTGTGAACTTTTTCCATGAGATATCAGTTGCTTAGACATGGTTATGTATGCCTACAATCGTATACGTTTGTCTTTATTTACAATGTAATTTTTCGTAATTGCAGGTGAAACATGGCTAAGTCTTCTGAAAAGAAGGGAAAGAGCGCCATCAACGAGGTGGTGACTCGCGAATACACTGTGAACCTTCACAAGCGCCTTCATGGCGTTGGATTCAAGAAGCGTGCTCCACGAGCGATCAAGGAGATCAGAAAGTTCGCGGAGAAGCAGATGGGAACGCCCGATGTTAGGATAGATACGCGCCTCAACAAGCAACTGTGGTCAAAAGGCATCAGGTATCTTTTCGAAAAAAAATCTTTTAATAAAACCAGTGAAGTGCCTCAAGTTTGCACGCTTCAATTTCGTGATCATTATTTGTTCGGACGCAACTTTAGTTATAATTATTTGTAACGTAATAACTTAAAAATGTAAAATTCACATGCATGAGAAATAATAGACTGTCATAATTAAATGTTAACACAGTCAATTTTTGTTTGCATTAACTAGTTGTTATTGAATATCTTTGAATATATGGGAAAAATTGTCAATTTAATATCTTATTTTATATCTTTTACTGCAATTTTATTGTAGAAAAATTGATTTTATAATTCTGGGATATACCATATATCATTTGTCCCTTTTTCAGGAACGTTCCCTTCAGAGTTCGTGTAAGACTGAGCAGGAGGAGGAACGACGACGAGGACTCTGCAAACAAGCTGTATACCCTTGTCACATATATATCCGTTTCGTCGTTCAAGGGGCTCCAAACCGAGAATGTTGATGCTAGCCAGGACTAATGTATTTCTGTATAATAAATAATGATAAACTGACTCGCCAGGTATTCCTCTCATCATATAACTTTTACCAAATCCATATATCCTAGACAATAATGAAATTTACTATGTTTCATTTCTCCATTTCTATGAACTTCCAAAGTATTTTTTTATATTATGAAAAATCGTTTAAGTTTTTGTCGGTATCTATCAAGAAGCTATCGTTCATCTGTAACTGTGGATGCAATTTATTACTTCTTATATCGATTCTTATTTTTTTCGAGATACAGTTTTATTCTGATTCCTTTTTTCAGTATTTTAGTTCAGAGAGAGAATTGAAAATTTTGATAATTTACAAAAAAGAGAACAGCATTTCTTCATTATTAGCAATCTACAAATAATTTTCGTAAATTGCTAATGAAAAAAAGTAAAATTATCGGGACTATAAACATATCATACCCATAGTTATCGAAATTATCGATTCAAGTAGATAGTTTTGATATTATTAAAATTGACGAGATTAAAATTATTCAGCGTTTCGCAACTTTTTGTATTATAAGAATGGAGGTAACTGATATTACTAACAAATTTAAAAATACATCGTTGTCTAAAAACTTAGAGAAATTTTAATATTTTATACACTATACAGTAAACAAGTAGCAGTAATTTCTGCAGTAGAATTTTATTGTTGAAAACTTATAAAATAAGGATCGATAAACAATTTTATACAGTAAACAAAATTGAAATAAACTATATTTTCATACGAGATTTTAAAAGGTTTTAGCTTTGACGTCAAGGACGTGCTTGACCTTTTAAAATCTTGTATGAAAATATAGAAAATTGGAGAATATATATCAATATTAAGTAAAATTTGATTATTTTGTTAATTTTATTTCATCGAAATACTTATATATATTTTGAAAAAAAATGCATCACTTGAATTAGTAATAATTTTGACATTATTTTTTAAGAAGAATTAAAGCTATTATGTTGATTTACAGATGGTTCAAAATGAACTCTTATATATTATCCATCTCTGCACTATTCTCTTCCGGAAAATTGATGTTAATTTCGCGCCAACGCGTCACCCAACTCCTTTGGATATGTATGCAAATTTTAATAGCCCTCTCATTATCAATCGGAAGATTCGCGTGGGTAGCGAATTATTAAACGAGCCGCATGGCAATATCTCGGGCGGAATTTCGCAGACGCGGAACGGGTCGCGTGCGCGGCGAATCTGTCGCGCATACGTACGTCCGCAGTGTGCGGTATCGCGGGTAGCGGCCTCGCGCGCTCACGGTTTCGTGCTGGCTGAGTCCGGTCAGTCAGTATGCGCCTGGTCCGGCACGGGCACGGTCGTGGATCGTGGCGATTGTGGTTGGCGAGGAGGCGCGCTGCCCGCGATGGAGCTGCGCGAGATGAGCCGCGCGTACGGAGAAGGAGGCACTGCGGAGGAGACCACGGAGCTCCTGCCGCAGCGCGACAGCGCGCCCGAGTACGAGAGCTACTTCGACGAGTACGCGATGCAGAAGGAGATGATCAATCGGAACCGGTGCCCCGCGAGCCGACGATTGCTCAGCCAGGCCGCGCTCGCCAACCTGGACTTCAATTTTTCCAATAGCAACCACTCCAAGGTTGGTCTTCGATGGGTATCCCGGAGGAATCGCGGCTCTCCTCCGTTCCGAGGAGTTTAACGGCTTCGAAGGAGTTTCTTCGTGCAAGGACTCGCGATGTCCTGTACGCGCGAGCTCGACAGGCATGAGCATGAGAATCACGAGATTCACAAATGATGCTAATGATTAGAAGGAGAGGCAGAGGATGCTGAAGATTCGCTGTCTTGAGATTAGAAGATTGAGAAAGCAAAGCTTCAAAGATACATATTTGTTTCTTTTACCTTTTTTTTTCTTCAACTTAAAAATTGATGATTTAGGAAAGAGATACAAAGAATTATACTGCACATCTCTGTGCACGTTATTAATTTTTTAAACAGTTTAAACGATTATTTTGAATTTTATATCACGACGCTGCGTACGGATTACGCAAGATTACATAAAAGCAGTACGCTTTTTGATGTTTCTTTAATCCATTTTTATTAATTGTACATACATATCACATATTTTTAGCAATAATGCGATTTTACGCACGCGACATTCGTTAATTTCTTTTCTCACAGTTATAATTAATTCACAAATACTTGTTACTGTTATTGTTATTAATTTAGTGTATTCATTTTATTAATATTTAATTATACTAAATTAATATTTATTTATTAATATTTGTTCATTAATATTTATTACATTATGAATTATTTACGATCACATGGTTTGGAAGTTAGAAATTGCATCGCACTTTCGTGAGCTTTTCTCGACATCAATTTATACATTCTTTACGAATATCTTTCAAACCGCAATTTTTTACTTTCCGGAAGCAAAAAGAATTCTCAATGGTGCTTATGGATTTATGAAGAAATCGTACATGTAAATTACACTGTGAATGATATCTCTACAAAAGTCTCTTAGTCGATCAGTGAATTTATTAATTTGGTCCCCGTCAGGATTCACCATGTGCCGGAATCACCATGATCCACACCTCGAGCGAGAACTGGCCGCCCTCCAGGAAGCGCGAGGAGGCGACGGCTTTGGAGAACCTCAGGAAGAGAGTAGAACAGAGCAAGTTATACAAGGCCGAACGAACTACTGATCCCGTCGTACCCAAGTCCACGATAAACTACGAGCTAACTCCACAACAGCTGGACAATCAGCCGAAACTTCTGAAGAAGGTAGACGATGGAAATCGCGATACACTCAAAAAAGAGCTAGTTCCTCGTTCAGTTTAAAGCGAAACGATCTCGATAAATTTATTAATAATTAGATTTTCCCCCCTTTTTTTTCTTTAACGCGTATTATTTTCTTTGGAGAATCGGCGTTGGATGAGCTAATGAATTGGGGACTTGAATACTAAATTGCGTCGACTTCGAAAAATCGGGATTACATCAAGTATATTTTTTAGAAGTCTGAGAAATTGTCATAATACAATTTTATTATTTTATTTTATTTAATTATTAAATGTGTCAACTGCTGTTTTATATCATTTTTAAAACGATTGCGAAATTGAAGTTGACAGCAGTGACTGTGAGATATCGCGTCTTGTTTTATAGAGTTCAGGAGAGACAAACGTTACGCTCCGGATACGACTCGGATTCCCAGAATATAATTTCCGTTGTGTCCTTGGCTTACCCGATGTACTACTGTTTTCGAAATGGAATACGAAATCAAAAGAGCGAAGGAGCACGCGCGCAAAGTACTTGGGTCGATACTTTAAAGTCAGGAGCGGCGCACCGTTGTCGAGCGCACCGACTCCTATAATGCACGCCGCGATGTCTTGTCGCTAAATGCAATTGGGAAACTGCGTTTAAAAATCATTGGTCTATTCAGACTGTCGGTCTGTTTCGGACTTTTGACTTTTATTCTGGCGTGCTTTCGATTTGGCCATTCGCACGAAATTATTTCACTCGCGAGGTAAAACTCCCCTTCGTGTCGGAATCTGAGGAGACGCAATGCGATGTTTCGAGCACGAAGATTGAGTACCATAGTGGCCTTTAAATTTTAAAGGAAAAGAGAATTAGAATTAGAGATGTAGGTGTTCTAAAGCGTTCGAAAATGCACCAACAGAATAGTTAAAAATTTAAGAATTTAAATATAAGAAGAGTTCAGAAACCTAGAATTTATGAATTTCGATGCTCGCAAGTCCGGCGATTTAAGATCTTGAGATTTCAAGGATTGCACGATTCGCGTGGATGATCGAAAATTCAAAGACGTAAAATTTCGAGGATCTAGAGATCTGTGAATTCGGGAAGTCGCGAGGGTTCGAGAATCTACGTTTTAATAATTCGAAAACCTTGAGATCTGTGGACTCCGATGTTCGGAGACCCGAGGAGACTAGCGTCTTAAAGCGAGACACGAGGACGAAGTTGCACGATATCGCGTGCGGCATATCGCGTATCGTAGATCATAGATAGAATTATTACCCTCCCGCACGTATCACGAAGAATTTTCTTGTAGATACTCACCAACCGGCCGATGAGTATCACGCACGATAGCAGCGACTTGGAGACCGATTGGCGCGACAGCGAATTCATCACCGAGTGCCTTTGCTGGCACAACGTTTATCGGCAACGGCACAACGCACCCCCGTTGACCATGTCGCCCCAGGTAATAGATTTAAGAGCGATAAAGGGTGAAACGATAACGGGAAAACGGCCGAAGGCCGTGCCGCGAATAACTTAAATGATACTTATACTTACGTTACTTCGTTCGACTGTGTTGCAGTTGTGCGAGTACGCTCAATCGTGGGCTAATCACCTGGCGCACACGAACACGTTCTATTATAGGAACGATCGGAACGTAGGTCACAACCTTTATTGTCGCCCCGGTAGCGGGGTACCTGGCGATATCACGGGACAGGAAGTCGCGTCCTACTGGTACTCCGCCGTGAGGCAGTACGACTTTCTCAAGGAACCGGACATTCTTCACGCCAACGTGAACGCAGGTAAAATAAAAGATAATAGGATCTAGAGTTAGAAATTCCCGGTAAACGAAAAATGGATTAAAGTGGATTGAAAAGGATTCTTTTCAACGTTCGCGAATGCGTACTCCTGAAAATCGGAATCCATTTCAATGTCAAATGCCTTTGTATTCATTTATAGAAATTGCATGAAGCACATTTTCTACGCTTTTCAATCCAGAAATAAGTTCGGTTTTAAAAGGTGAATACTAGTCAATTTAAAATTCTGGATAGCAAATGCAGTCTTTCAATCCAATTGAATCTAAAAAAGGTTTTATTTATAAAAATGGATCATGAGTGCTACTTTATTTAAAATTATAATAGGAAGCATCGAGTTTTATTCGTATTACAGAATAGAAATGCATTTATTTCCACGGAGTCCAATCCATTTCAATCCATTTTCATGAATTTAAAGTACGCATTCGGATGGATTCAAATGGATTAAAAGTTTCAATCCATTTTAATTTACTGGAAAGACCACCATATAATGTCTCCTTACGACCTAGAAAGGACGAGTAAGCGTTTGCTTTATCTCTTTAATTTATTATATTAGTATCATATTCATAAATGACACGCTGAATTTTAATACATCTAATTAATTTAATTCATGAAGAATGATTCATTCGAGGAAGTGTCTCCCCAGTAAACTGTGACAATGAATTGAAATGAATTTATTTCGACATTTCCGAATTGGCGCTTCTGATTTTTCGAATCTATTTAAAACCAAAAAAAATAATATAATACGAACATCAGAATTCAACATGGTGAATAGCTCATTTACTATTTAAATTTATTTGAATCCAAAAATAATATAATACAGAAATGAATACATTCGAATACAACATGACGAATAGCTCATTTCGTATTTCAATTTATTTGAATTAAAAAGTAATATAATAGGGACATGAATGCATCTTCGGACTCTAAAGCGCCAACTCGGATAAATTAAAATAAATTGCAATTTTTCATCTGAATTAATTTTTGTTTGCTGGATCCCTAGGTCACTTCACCCAGCTGATTTGGGCGAGAAGCCGTTACTTCGGGGTCGGTAAGGCGTGCAGCAGAAGCGGCAAGGTGATCGTGGTGGCGAACTACGAGCCGGTGGGCAACGTGTCCGGCCAGTTCCAGAACAACGTATTCCCGCCGTTACCCGAGAACATGAACGTGATGCTGTCGCCGCCCACCGTGCGGATGCCGCGGGCGCAGTACGAACTGCTGAAGTCGACGGCGTCGCCGCCACCGCCGCCGCCACCGTTACCGCTTCCGCTGTCGGACACCGCGTCCACCGCCAGCGACACCACGTCCGTCAGCTCCGGCCAATAATACCACGGCCGTGCAATTAAATGCCTTCTCTGTATTTGCGCGCGATGGGCCGGACGCTGAGGAGGAAAAGGGGGAGAGAGAGAGAGAGAGCTAAGAGAGCCCCGACCCTTCGCGTGCCGCGAATCAAAGACTTCGGAACACGCGAAACACGATGACCGATATCTCCGTCGGGAAGAGCGCGAAATGTTTCAGAAGCTCTTCGTTAATTCATTGATACGCATCTCTCGGAAAGCTTCTGAAAAGTTTCTGAAAAGGTGATATACGGCTTATAGAATATGCCGGCTTGATGATGTGCGCTAGCTCAATTTTTTGCCATCATAAAGCTCAAGCGATTGATTAGCTATTGGAAAATATTGCAACGTTATTTTTTATCTTATTGTTGCAATTTTATCCCAATATGACCGTATTCGGTAATTTTCCACGGACACGTCGGTCATCAGGTTTTACTGCCAGGTTTTTCAGCTACCGCTTGCAAAAGCAGTGATAATCAAAGTTACACCGAGCTTCGTCGTGTTAGCTGATAATATGTATTACAAATGAAATCGAGCAGTACAATCTGCGATGTAATCATTGACAGTGGCGTAACTTTTCGTTTGTTTATGGATCCCATATGAAAGTAAAAAGTAATGCGTTCAGAAAAAACGAAAGACAGGGAAAATTAGGTGAAGAAATTGAAGAAATATTTCAAGAGGATACTTATACAATCAAAATTCTCTCAAGACTAAAATACCAAGACTAATGAATATTTGGAGTAGTATAAAGTTCCTCGCTTTTTCTCTTGAAAGTTTTAATTTCTTCCTTTTGTTTGCCATGACAGGTGAAAGTAATTTTTTTAAAGAATCACGTCACTGTCCGTAATAGATAATAGAGGCTCAAATTTAGAATAGTCATATTTATTTCCGGTTTGAAAAAAAGTATAGAAACGATCGGATGACAGATTGTAACTTGTTTTTAGATTTTTCTAAGTTTATTCGCCGAGCCGTTCGTTGCATATCACGTGAAAGCAAAGTGAAAGCTGGAATTGTTCAGAACACCTAGAAGCTCCATTTATTTTGTACGTCGGTTTAGAGTTGGCACTCGTTGTAACTCATTAAGTCCCAGGGGACCTTTATACGCGCTTTTCTGTTTTAAATCTCTCGGGTTCTAATCAAAATTTTCAGACTGCAATTGATATTTAGTCAAGTATTAATTATAAAAAGAGTTGCTATTTTTCTGAAAATTTAATCGGCGATAAGATGGGATATCTGGAAAAAAAAATAAAGATTGAAGGTTTAAAACAGAAAAATCCATAGGGGTCTCCCGGGACTTGATGAATTAAAGGATTCCTAGTCGTAGATATGTAAGGTGTATATTTGAGAAGCCTAAATGACGAATTGCGCCTAGCAAGGAAATATAATACTTTGCACACACTTTTCCGTCCTGTTAAAATCTAGAGATCAATGGTTTGCGAAATGGGGGTTGAATTTTTTAGCGTTTTTAGCATCAACGAATGTTCCTATCGACACGTAGCGAGGATTAGTGTGTTCCCCAGAGGTCGATCTGGGAAAAATAATCGAACTCCAAATCGGAAAGAAACGTTGCGCAAACACGATCAATCCCGATGTTATACATTGCTTAGAAAGGAAATGCAAGAATTTATGGAGTGTTAATCTTAGAACGGTCGAGTAGGATATCTGCGATATAATGTTAAATGCAAAAAAAAAAACTGAAAGGATAGGAAGTACGATTTAATTTTACAGAGTGAATTTAAAATTAGAATTAAAAAAGGGAGCTATTCAACACGTATTACATATTCACATCTTACATTTAGCACTAAATGTCAGATGTGAATATAGACCTTTTAAGTATAAATAGCTTAGCATTGTACTTATTTAACGTGACGGTTTTATCGGATTCCCGACGGAAACGGAATTGAATAGACTTAATCGTTCTTTTGAGCAAATTGAGCATAATGAGCATAACGAAGTCTTTAATTATTGATTAATGACACCATTAATGACGAGAGACAGGCATTCATTTGAAAGCGAACAATTATTGCGAATCTCTCGCTTTCAACATAGGAAACGAACAAAAATATATACATATATGTCTGAAATCTGCCAGACTGTTTGATAATCATAGACACGACTAGCTGAGCAGTTATTATATCGATGCTTTACATTTTGCCTTGCGATAATTTATCGTAAAGTGCATGGCACAAGATGAAATCTTCCATTCCCCGATTATTTCTACAGAACGAGAAACGAACGGGAGAATCAATCAGTGATTGGGAAGAATTTTTAGATCGAACGTTAGTTCGCTTCGAATGTTGTTGCAGCGATTTTAGCTAAATAAGACGTACATATACACACGACACTTGATCTACGCGTACGGCGAGATTGTTAACGAAGCGACATCGATTATTAGAGGGAGGTCTCTCAGGTGCGCAAGCTACCTGCTTGCGTGGCGGTTAGGTAGATGAAGCAAATTTACAGCGATTTTTGTAATTCAACCCTGTTGGCCCTTGATTTGCTAGAGAGTATATATTAAAGATAGATTGTTACGAGACAGAAGAAAATTATTTTTCAGAGACAGACTGTTATAAAGAGAAGGAAAGAGAAGAGGAGTTATTTTTCGCTCATATAGTCGACCGATTAGTACCTCGCTTTTTCAAACGTGAGACGTAGAATTTAATGTAATAAGGGGACACGTTTTGTCTCTTTACACTTAGATTCTGGCTTCCGTAGAATCTTATGTGATGCTACGTAAAACGATAAAATCGTTTGAATAATCGTTGATCGCACATGAAGTACCGTTAACGATTCACCTAATCGAATCACTCAATTAGTTTAATCGCGCTTTGTGTAATTCAATGTGAGATCATCGCCCGTGCTCGCGGCATAAAACGACGTGCGTTCCACACTAATATGCCGATAATAAAATGTTTATCATAGTGCACAGGGTTAAGTAAAAAAACGCTCGATGTGATAATTAAGAGGCTTTCATTAACCTAAGAATGTTAATCGAATCAAATTTACCGAGAGGATCGACGAGGTCGAAAAACATTGTTTGTCGCTTTTGAGTTCATTTTTTCGCATGCGACCTGTTAAAAAGAATTAAGCAATCTGCGAGTAAGATATTTTAAAGTATGTGTACGCTCACCATGTTGACAATCGATATACTGAAACGTCGTTTCATTTATGTATATTGTGAATATGACGATTTTGAAAATCGTTCAGGTCTGCGTCGCCGCAGGCCTTAATTTTAAGGTCAAATTCCTTAAGAGGCTACGATGAGACTTTAAGATTTAAAAAAATTGACCAATCGATTATTCTTCTCACGTGATGAATAATCGACTATGATTAGTCAATTTCTTAAATCTCAAGTCTTTAGTCTCATTGTAGACGCCGCTTTAATGAATTCAAAGCTATATCTTCCTTCAAAACTATCTTTCCTCTCGGCAAGATTTTGTTGAAAGAAATCATTTCCTTTCTCGATTTTTAAGATTAGATATTTCGATAATTACGTCTCGAATATATCTCTTTTAATGAAAAATCCATTTGAGATTAATCCGCTAAAATTCGATACAGCGAAGATATAAAGATATATATGTATCGGATTATACATTGGAGGTTGAGGATTACGAATTAGAGATCAGAATTCAATCAGTTAGAACAAAACGAATTAAAATAGAAAAAATTAAAATTGATTACGTAATTGATCAAATTCAAATTTTTAATTCTCAATCCTCAGTCTTTAATGCGTAGTCTGACACGCAGACTTATCACCGTACTTATAGCTATATGTTAATCTGCAATGACATAATTAATCGCGCGCTTAACTGTTTACGGAACTCTAGTGAACTCAATCAGTAAATTATAGGAAATGTATATCAAAAAAGACTATATCATTTATTTTATTATATATCTATTTTTTAATATAATAGATTTTGCTATATTGCTGATGATAGTCTATCGGGTCTACCGGAAGCTCACGTAGTTTATTATTAGCTTTGGTGAAACGTTGAATCTCTCTAATGAAAACTCAATTCATTTATCGATCCCTACTACTAATCGCTTCAAATATAAATAAAAATAGAAATAAAAAAGTATAAAAAAAAAGTTAAAAGTGGAACGACGTTAATGTATTCGTTGTTGTTGAAGCGCAGGACGTAGCCTTAACGAAATGAATTAATGCATTGCAATCCAACGTATTTTGTAACGATGAATGTTAATAAAATCATCTCTCTTTGCAGAAAGACTTCCTCGCAAGTTCCATCCCACCCTTCGACATTTTTCGCGAAAGCAGAACATTGCAAAAACAGAATATTTTTAAAACATGCGAAACACGCTGCGTTGAAAATTAAATATAATCTTTTTTAAATCTCGTATGAATACACAATGGTTTTTTAACGATATTACGAGACTCGGAACGTTAATAATTTGGAATTTATATTAAAAAAATTAAATTATGCCTAATCGAAAAACGAAACAAAGCTGTACAACAGCTATCGAATTGAAATAAATATTTTATTCTGAAATAAAAGGAGAATTTTCGGTATTTTATTTTACTTTAAAATATTTGTTTTGTTGAAAAACATTTATACTCTAATGTATTTTGAAAGAATTTTCTTTATGTACTTTCTGATGTCAAACTCTAAGACGGCTGCAAGGAATAAATGGAAACCTTAACACGTTCTATCAATGAATGAATAAAAAGTGAGAGACACATCGGACAAGAGGAAGGAGACATCGAGCGTTGAATACAGCTGACATATATTTTCCGTCAAATATCGTATTTCGCTAATAACATTACATGATACAATAATTAAAAAATATACTGTACTTTGCGAAATTACAATCGGTACTATAAGTAAAATATAGTAATATTAATAACATCTCTGTGACGCGTTGAGTCGCTCTCGGCGACTGATTAGTCAACCGGCTGATATCGTCGCTCTCTTCTCATCTTATTCCTCCTTACGAGATTATGAAAACAGTTTTACAAAATATAGTGCAAATATATACGCTCGCTATACACAACAATAAGGGAGTCCTCAATTATTGTTTATCTCTTTCTTTTTCTGTCCCCCTCTTTCTCTCTCTTTCTCTTTCTCTTTCCCTCCCTTTCGTTTTCTCTCATCTATTATATATTTGATTAACATCGAGTTTAGGCTTCATCTCGACGCGAATACGTTTTGAATGATCCTCTTTGCAGAATTAGTCGTTATCAATAATGTCGACTCGATATGGCTGATTAAAAACTAAAAAAAAAAAAAAAAAGTTAAGACTACGGACGATGGAACCTCGCTCGCGCGACAATTGTACAATCAGCGTACGGCTCGAAAGCGGAAATTCGTTGTGATCACGAGCAAAATTCGTCGCACGGCAGCGACGTAACAAGCTGCTCAGTACTATCACTATCGTTCCCAAGTGGAGGAATGATACAAGGCCGGAATATCGGGTCTCGAAGCACACGAACGAAAAAAAGTAAATATGTAAAGTATATATATATATATAAAGGGACAGATAAACAAGACGAAAGACGACATTTCTAAAGGCTTTCTCTACATGGATACGGATTGCTGAAGTCGCTGGAGATTAATCGCAAAGCTGAAGAAAGTCAAATGCTTTATTTACGCGAAGAATTTAATGTAAGAGCACTATAGTCATTGTTTCTCAAACAAAATCGTCCATATATAGATATATTCCGTATCGCAATTGTGTAATCCTGTCTCAAGCAGAGCCGACGACAGACAGAATTCGAGAATGTACAATGAGAACAGAAACGCGAATGATTTTCCCTTGGAAGCGAAGATAATTAGTATTGATCTGTATTAATATTATATTGTTAGTTATACGCGATGTTAGTATTGCATTCTGTGCACACACTCATTCTCTCTCTCTCTCTCTCTCTCTCTCACTCTTTCTCTATTTCTGTGCCGGAAGATAAACTTTTATAATACTTGTGAGTTTCGAAAAGAAAAATCGTCGGAAACGAATTATTTTCGCAGCTAATACTCGATACATACTCGGCTAATTCCCGAGAATACTGTCGAAAAAGCAAAAGCAACCGATAATTTTACTTTGCCGTATTAATTAACACAGAACGCAGACTGGACTGGTGAGGAATGTTGCGTAATTTTTTTTTTTAACAGACATAACGAAGCACTGAGTGTGGAACGTGAAATACACTTCTCCAGCGTCGCAGTCGGAGGGGCCGACTCGTGTCGGTGTGTTTCCGTCACGCAAGACCGATTAACGAACATTCTCCACGATCGTTTTGTACAGTTACTACATAAGTTGTTCCTTACATCCTAATATTGCTACACTTTGTTCTTCACGTTAGATCACTAAGCTCTTTTTTTTTGGAATACTGCTTCACCATCCGCGAATACTCGAGGTGCGAAAAAAAAACTTAAAGAAGTTTTAGAACTACGCGAAGAAACATTTCGAGCAAATGTCGCGTCCAACGATAACAATTTGATTATCACTTAGCGTTGAGACGATCAACAGGTCAGAAGGATTTTACGTGCAGAGTGAGGCACTTCAAGATGTCGATTCTCGGCTGATCACGGTGCCAACACCTTGCGACCCAAAAAAGTTACGTGTTCTTAAAAGAATCGATCTCTCTTGTAATTTTATAAAGTAATTGATGAAACTGCGAAGTCTATATTAATTGACATATAAAGCGCTCGATAATAAAAATACGTTGAAAAAATATTTTACTAATAACAAATTTGTTTCTCAATGTACTCTGTGATTCTTCATATTCAACATAAAATAAATATTGAAATTTTTGCGGTAATATACTAAGATTTATGTTGCAATAACACTTTTATGTGTGCAATAAACATGTTGTTTATTACAACATGAATCTTGCGAGTCATTCATGATTTATTTTATATTTCTATGTAATCCCCAAATACAAAGTAAAAAAGCAAACAATCAATCGATCGATATAAAAAGCTCTAATTAGCTCTATAAACTGGTATAAAAAAATATATATATAAATAATGAATATATTACGGCAAACATTTTAAGTGACTCACTCTGCATCAAAATGGAAAAATGGCTTTTATAAGATCAGGCTTAATAGACAAAAACAATTCTTTCTAAGTACTACTAATTAAACAAAAAAAAAAACAATTCTTAATTCATACTTCGAAGATTAGCAAGAACTAAATTTGGTTTCTCACCATCTGATATCAATAAAACATCGACAATATGCAAGATTTTCGATTTCCTTAAAAGCTGTCAAATGGAACAAATGGAGACCCTTCAAAATAGGAATCTTTCATCATGGTTGCATTATCCGTATCGCGTTTTATTCTACGCCCTATATAAAGTAGAGCCTTCGTTTGTATTCTAAGAGCTTTTGTCTGAGTTTCTACAGAATGGTACCGGGCTGCCATTCGAGTTCTATGAGGAATCGAGCCCTCGCTCGTGCTCTACGCTAAGTAGAGCTTTAACACGAGAGCTAAACTAGTGCCGTCTATAACTTCTGGAACGCATCGCCGGCCGCGTTCGGGGAGCGCGCTATCAGCGCTATCGCGTCAGTCTATTTTCATCGTTCATTTTCATTAGATGTGAAACAAGGACGCGACGTCGCTAAATAGCGCACTCGTCTCTCCCCCCTCCACCCCGAACGCAGCCCATATATAAATATAAATCTTTCGTTATACTCGCATTCGTCATTTTCTCATTTATTCGCACATGCACGCGCGCACGCATACGTTCCCGCTCACGCTCTGCCCTTCTCTTTTTCTATTTTTTTTTTTCGCACTATTTTCTATCTACCTTCGCTACTTTGTCGTACTTTGTTAAGTGCATAATGGCGTAAGTGTGTAAATCATATATAGTGATACAATTTAAATATATATCAGAATCTTCCGCTGCCGAGAGATAAATATAAAACTAAACGCGTACAATAATCATGCTGCCCGGCCTACTGTCCGTCTCATCTATATGTACACTCGCGAGATACCCTCGCGAAACAATCCGCGCCTCTTAGGAGCTTATTTTTTTCAGTACTCGCGAGCTCTACCCTACGCCGTACTAAGTCTCGACAGATTATATCGGATATATTAGTAAGATTATGTTGGTCCGGAAGTATTCAGGAATATTGGACGCGTCGCGCACGAGAACGGCCGGACAGCTTCCCTTCTCGTCGCGACTAACAAAAACACGTCCGTAACGTTACGTTATTATTGGTCCTTCTCTTCGCAGAACACACAACATTTTTGGTCAAAGAGCTATACAAAATTCCGGTTTGTACTTCATACCTTCGACGCTGTGTGGAGAATCGCCGCCGGCTAATCGGATTCATTCTGAATGCAAAGTAGCCCCTCGTGTGGTATTATTATTAGTAGTAAAAATTAATTATAAATGTATGTCGCTTGCGGAACTACAACTATGCGCAGTATACATATTTCTCTGTGTGTGTGTGTGTGTGTATCTCTTTATCCGACAGAAAACGCACGACAAAGTATCTAGGACGTTCGGGAAAAAAAAATAAGGCAGAGATATTCAGTAATCTTAAATATACTACAGCGGATTAAAAAAAATTATATAAAAGTTTGTATAAACTTTCTTTACTTTTTGCTAACGATAAGCTCCTTCAAAATAATTGTCATTCTTATAAAAATTGCAGTATATGTCTACAAATGTATTATTACGTTAGCAGCGCGACAATGCTGCATTTCGGGCCAAATCATGTAAATTTTAGGAAGATTACCTTCTCGCGTATATCGTACTCCTTCAATTATACGACTCGCAATCGTGACTTTCCTCCAAGCGCCCTAGATATCTCGAAAAATATTTGATCTATCTTAACTGCTAAAGCCTGAAAAAATAAGAATGCAACGTTTAGGACCTATTGTTATTGGTGTTATTGCCGCTGGTTGTGGTGGTGGTGTTGTTGTTGTTATTGTTGTTATTGTTGTTACTGTTGGAATTAAGCGGGCTGCTGATGTTGTCGATCTCGCGCTGGGCGCGCGAAATCTTCACTTTATCCCGCGGCGTGCCGTCCTCGCCGGTCTCCATCGCGAACATCTTCATTTTCTCCTTAAAGCTGAGCTTCTCCGGCACCGCGCCAATCTGCGAGTTCTGCTGCTGCTTCTGCTTCTCCGCCAGTCGCTTTTGCCTCGGATCCCTGGAACACCAAACTGTTTAGCACACTTGCGCCAAAGGACTCGCTCATTCGGTATCCAACCCTTCAAATTTTACAACGAATTCAACTGGACGCACTGGTGCATATTAAAGTCGTTGTACATTGATCTAATTTGAGTAAAAGTAAAAAATATAAACATTTCAAATTATAAAATATATTTTATCATCCAGTATAATAGATTAATAAAGTACAATATGTTGAGGATCTCGCGGTATAATTCACATTTCTATATTTAAACACACATCTTTATATGTTTATCGACTTGTATACAACGGCTTTAATGTGCACCAGAGCACTTTGTCCAATCAAATTCGCTATTAGTGTATACGCAACAAAAAACCTACTTATAAACTTCTTGAGCTCCGATTACACCGGGAGTGGCGCCAGTAAACGAAGTTGATCCTTCCGGTGTCTTGGGAGAGGCTAATAAATTCTCCGCGTCGTTGATAAAATTCTGGAAGCACAATTAATTAATGGAATATATCAATATGTGGCAACTATGTTAGAATACAAAAGTTCGTGCACTCATTCAATACACCGAATTATTTTTTATTAAAAATCACTTGGTTGTCCGGCATACAAAAATTTTTATTTAACCGATTAAATAGTTTCTTATATCGTTTTCTGAAAATTTTTTCCATGGTTTTCAACACAATTGTCAATACAACAGAATATGCAATTCTCGTCAAATAAAATGAGCTCTTTTGAGATTGAGAGAAACTTCGGTAATGTTTTTTTATGGCAGGTTTAACCGATGTACCTTTTTAAAATACGTAAAGTATAATACGCCGAAAATGAATTTTTTCATCAATTTTGTTCATTTTTCATTTTTTTCTCAATCAGAACAAATCCAAACGCCATTCCACGTTCTAATGAGAATGTCAACTTTTAAACGGTACACAATATGTGTAGAAGTTACAAATATTGGCGAACACTGTGCAACATCAATAATAACATTTATTGAAATTGGGCACGACCTCTTGCACACGCATATAATATAAATTGATATAAAATACCCCCAAAAAATTATAAAAATATATATCAATAGCAGCACGGTGCTTTGCGTAATTTGCAATATGCAAGAATCTCGATAGCAGTGTAATCCAAGACAGCCAAGATCGATAAATAATCTATTTAACACAAAACTTGAAAAAAGCTAAATTTATCAAATAAATTAAATATAAGAATCATGAAGTGTATCACCATTATCGTTTATCGGCATAAATTAAGTTATTACAGTTTGTTGAATTAATGTAACTCATCTTAATTGGATAATAAATTTAACGCTCAATTAATAAAATGTCTAACATATGACATACGATAAGTCCCAGATTAAATTCTTATCGAAAGGCTTTTAAATTCAAATTTATTGCTTTGCAATAATATGTAATTTTTGGAGGTAATCAGTATGATGTACGCGTAAAGCATAAAGATCACAGATACTAGCAGTCAGTATAGAACGTGAAACATGAATGTAGATCACATAGGATGAAATACGAGTAGAACATCTAATATTAAATGCAGCGAACGATGCTTGAATGAAAGATACATGATTATTAGACATAATCACTAACTGACGAACTGATTCATGCATCGTAAACAATGACAGCATGAGATGTAGCAACGATTTATTTTAACATTTATTTATACCTTACTTGTTTATCTGCCATCGTAAGCATTTCGACAGGATATTTATATTTATAATAAATTTGTATTGATGATATAAATTAATTATGCAAATTACAGATCTTACAGATCGGAAAATAGAAACGAGATCTACATATTCTCGAATGATATTACGTCTCTCGAAAGGATAAATACGTGATGACGTAGGTACTAAAATAATATTACAAAGAAAACGCGAAACTGATTCGCAATTTTTTAAATTGAGATCAATCATGTCAAAGTACAGCGTAAGGATAAAACAGAAGTAAATTAAAGCAGGTAAACGATAAGGAGATTAAAAGAAATAGATTATGAGAAAATTACTTACGTTGGGATCCTCTCTAATAGTATCCATTGAGATTGACGGCGGGTTTGACGTTCCAGATGATACATTGCGCAGCACGGACTCGCTATTTGCATTCGAATCATGAAAGGAGACTCTCTTCATAGACGCTGGCTGTTGAGAAGTGGGAGGTAGGTTAGATGTGGTCGAGCCGTTTGATCTGAGAGCACTTTGCTGAGACATAACGGCGTAACTGGAGCCTCGTTCTGGTGGCGGAGGTGCATCGTTTACGTTATTTTGCGAAGCTATAATAAAAGAAAAATCGTCAATATAAATATTACATGAGTCAAATATGTAATCTAATACTTTTAATAAATACAACGAAAATATACTGTATCTGTAAATCGATAATAGAAAAAAATATTTCGAGACAATTTCTTCTTAAAGAAATATGAAAATACGAAGACTCAAGGTTCTCAATGTTCAATCTGTAAAAGTTTTAAAAGCTATACTAACGCATAGATACGCTGGGACCGTTAATAATCAAGTTGTCCAGGCGCAACATGCCGGGATGCAGCTGGCTGCGCGGATGCTGGCTCGACTGATACGTCTGCTGCTGTGACTGCAGCTGCTGTTCCTCCTGCTTCTTCTGATTCTCCTCGTATTCAGCCTGCTTCCGCTTCACCTCGTCCATTCTCCGTTGCAGTTCCCTATCTTCCACGGAGTGCGACATGCCCATGGAATAAGACTTCTGACCGGAACTGAAATGGCTGAGGGGTGTGCCGTAACTGGGCGTCGACACGTGCTCTTCGCTCTGACCCGCTGTTTGTTGCTGCTGCTGCTGCTGCTGCTGATTTGGTTGCACGTGCAAGCCGCTATTCTCTTGACCAGGGCTGCTCATCCCGACATTCTGCGGCGCCGTTTGATTGGACAGAATGTGAGCGTGGCTGCTGGTGACGGGTTGGCTGCTGAGGAGAGGCAGACCACCCCTCAACGACTGGTTGCCGGAGATCGTTCTCGATAAAATCGGTGGCTGCAGACCTCCTTGGACAGTTCTGTCCTGACTGGCCGCCATCCTCAGCAAGCCCTGAACGCGCTGTACACTCTCGTTGTCCAAATCGTTGCTCTCCTCGTCATCGTCCTGATTGGCAACCTCCTCCGCTCGCTTTTGGAAGTCTCTTTCCAGTTGGAGAGCTCGCAGCTGCTCCTCCTGCTGCTGCGTTCGATGCGTCAGCGCGCTTAGCTCGGCAATTTGCTGATCTCGCCACAGTCGGGCGGCCTCTCTTCTACGAGCTTGTTCCTAGAAATGCCAGCAATGTTCAAATAAATGTTATTAAAGAAAAATATAATAAAATTGCACAAATTCCGGAAAATTTGTTACTATTTTCAACTGCACAATAATTATCAATAGAATTTTAATGTAAACAATTTAATCTAGATAAAAAATTATCGCCCTAACGAGACCTATCGCTACGATTTCATTAATTATTTTTTTTACTATTACTTATTATTTAATTACTGTTACCTTCTCTCTTTCTTCGCGTTGCCAAGGATTCGTCGCGCTATATTGATACTGACGCGGTTGCTGCATGGCACTGATTCCTCCCGCAGGGTAATAACTACCTCGTGGTGGATCCTGCATGCTTGCGGTATACCTGCAAAATTTTCCTCGATTATTTAGGAAAATCACGCAGCCGACAAGCGACTTTCAAAAAACGCGTTAAGACGTATACCTCGTATCGGCTTGCTTGTACAGAGGATGCGTCGAAGTATTGGGCGGCGGTGGCGGTGGACTCTCGCTGAACGTGTCGGACGGCAGAGCCGGCCTCGTTGGCGGCGCTTCCGACGTCGTCATAGAGTGACCCTCTCCGTTTTGCGCACGATTGTCGTTTCCATACTGATCGTGTCGCTGCTCCAGACTGCCGTTCGGATAATGCGGATTGTTATGCGTGCCCGCGAAATGTCGGTTCTGTTCGGCGTACGACTTCGTCTCTTGGCCGCTCGTCGGGTCTCTGCCGAGCAGAGTCTCATTGGGCATCGGCTGGTGACCGCGCGCGATCGCCTCGCTCTTCGGTTTGGGCATCATCGGGCCGTACGGACCTCCGACCGCCGGAGGGTATCGGTTAGGGTACTGATTGTACGGACCGTACTGGCCGTACTGCGCGCTGTTGTACTGAGCGTACTGGGCGTCCGGATAATTGTAACCGGGCGCGTTCTGTCTCGCGGCGTAGCCGGAGGTCGTGCCCAGGCTCGACGTGGAGCCGAGCGGCCTCGGCGAGCGCACGTTCAAGGTGTTCGGCACTTGTTGGGATGCAGGCGGGATCGCTCGTGCGCCCATGTTGTACATCGCCGGCGGTCTGTGCTGGTTGAGCAGCGGCGCGCCACCGCGCAACTCTCGCCGGCGCACCTCCTCCTGCATCTCCTGCATCTTCGCCTCCTGGCGGATGATGTCGCGCGAGGACTGGGAACGCGGCGGCGGTCCTCCGCCGTGCTGCTGCATCTGACTGCTGATGGTCGAGTAACTCTGCTGCTGGCCCTGGGGGACGTACGCGGACGTCGGACGATCTCGGAGATGGCCGATTTCCATGTTAGACGGACGATTCAACGAGTTCTGCGAACCCCTCAGGGAACCCTTTTGAATGTGCTGAGGATTTCTGTAAGACATAGAGTGACTAATTTAGAAAGTATTCAGAATAGAACATCTATAAAGAAAAATCACAAAAACATTTTAAATTGATTTATTCGCCATCATTTTCATTTGAAATATTGCCAAATGTGATGTAAGAGAAAAAGTGCTTAAAAATAGGAGAACTTATACTGTATATCTATACCTGTCGTCTGGCTGTTGTGGACTGATTTGTTGCTTCGCCGTCGGGTCTTGATTCCGATAAACACTTAGATTCTGATAAAACCGCTCTGCTTCTGTGCCCTGTGCATTCGACGGTGCATTTATGTGCGTCGTATTTGGATTTAAATTGGGTGAAGATTGCTGCCTACTGACCAAGCCAGTGGGCGGCAAAGTTCCGATTCTCATGGGATCGTGTAAGTTGTGGCTTGACCTACGTATACAGGAATGCGTTATTCTTACAAACATATATCATTCCTCATATTTTACAAATAGAGTGTACAATTTACAACGATATTAGATGATACTTATATTTACAAATAAAGAAAAAGTTGGTTAAAAAAAAATCTTCTAATTTTACAATTAGATCTTATAAGTTAATACTTTCCAAAAATTTATAATTTTTAAGAAGTATTTCTAGCTTTCTTAGAATAAAGTATAAAAGTTTTCGTTTAAAGAAAGCTAATGATATATTAAAATCTGTAATCGAGAGCGGTTTCAATTGAGGTAAAGATACGATGATATTTACCTGGAACGCAAAGCAGTTGCGCTGTTGATCGTCGCCATGGGGGGTGGTTGAACAGGCGGAGTAACGCTGTTACTGGAAGAAGCTCTGCTGTATCCGGGATTGAACACCTCATGCTGTTGCTTAGCCTCGGTGCCCATATCTACGTATAAATTCAATTTTTATGTAAAAGCGAATAAACGTATCCTTGGATACTCTTCTATCAGATGTATCTTTATTCCTTAAATCATCATAAGAGGTAGACGTTCCTCTTATATTTAATCTATCTAGTGAAATCCGAGATAAAGCTGTGAGATTCGATAAGAAATAGTTCGTTCGCTCTTACGCTAAATTCTGTGAAACTCGATAAAGCTGTGTGATCCGGAGCATGATATGCGCACACAAAGCTCGCTCTTACTTACTATGCAATGCCGGCACAGATTTGCTGCTGTGGATTTGCTGAGGAGTGGCGTCGTGTCCAAGCCGCGACGGCAAATCCCGCTCGCTCATGCGACGAGGACCTGCGAGTAGCCCAAGCGGGTACACAAAGAGACAGCTTTGAGTTAATGCATTGGTGAACACGAAAGTGCCGAGGCGCGACATTAAAACGATCATTCATGCACATACGCAAAGCATTTGTCGAGGAACGAAAATGCTATCTTCTGGGTCGCCGAAGTCTAACTTTGACACGTTGAAAGCGGTGGAAAATGTCATACGACCAACTGTAAGATACTTATGACAGTGACGAGCTACACCGAGCAGGTTTGTATTGTGATATTTCAACAAGACTATAAATAGTTCGCGTTGACTGGATTTTAAAGTATTGATGTTGTAGCTATTTCGTATCCAAAAATTATATAGTTTATCATTTCAATAATAAAAAAAATATATATATTGCATTGGATTTTGCAGAAAAGATATTGTACATAATAAATATTAAACAATACTTAAACGTATACCGCTGCGTGCACGATTGCATTGTGTGATTAGCTCGTGAGCTTGATTTAATGTGATTAAGATAATTAGGAATAAAAGAATATATACAATTATAAAATAAAAGGTACTTATTTTGTTACAATTACTGTGCAATTCACAATTAAATAAATTGCATCTAACATAAAGCATTCTTTCAACGCACATAACTACGATTATGTGCACGCAATACCGCAAGTGTATTGCTGAACATATTACTATTTTGAATACAGTAATGGAACAAAAAAAAGTACCGGAAAATTGTATTAATGTATCATGCTTGCGTATTAGCAGACATAGTGTTATTATTATATATGTATAAAACGAAAATATTGCTAATAAATTATTAAATTATCAATAAATAAATTTTATAATTTGCAGGATGGCAAATCCATTCTCAAATAAGGCAAAACCGAATGACAAAATCAATTTAGCATAAATTATATGTTAATTGATGTATCAAAAATTGACGAAATCAATTACTTGATTATCAAGTCTTCAGCTTCTCCTAACTTTACATTTAGGGGAAAAATAGTTTATGTTCTTCACATGTATAAATATAATGACAAAATAAAAATTATCCTAAATATATCGTTTTACATTATTTTATATTATCTGTATAAACTTGTAAAAATAATTTCGTCAGTTTTCGATTTTTCACCATTTCAACCATGCCATAAAATAACGTGTTGCAAAAACAATGTAAGGATGATTTACGTTAAAAATCGTCCGAACATCACGGGCGCGTAATAAATAAATAAACAAGGAGCAAACGCAATGTATGTAAACAGATCTAATAAATCGTGCGACACTGATCCGTCTATGAACATGGATTTTCGATTCGTCTCATTCAGGCGAAATGAAAGTGCTTGAAGAAAGAAAAATTCGGCTATAAATGCACATTCAACGTACGACACGTGGTGATAGCTTACGCAAGGCGGATCGGTCATCATCTTTCAGCGAGCCGATTTCGCGGAAGCTCCAACCGTACTCCTCCGAGTCGGACTTCCGTCGCGAAACGTCAGACTCGCTCTGAGATTTCCCTTCTACTCTCAACTGTCGCTCCATGTCTTTTGCCTCGTTTTCACGCGCCAATTTGAGAGAGCTATCTTTCAGCCGATCGTAGCTCGCGCGCTTCGTGCGAAGTCTCTTTTTCGGCATCCAGTCGGATCTCTGTACCTCAGCAGTTCGCCCTAAATTCGCCCACTTGTCTTGCTCGCGCGATTCTCTCTTTGATTCCAAATCTTCGAGCGACAGATGACGGTTCCATCGCCTGTCCTCGCCATCCTGGGAGTCCAACTTATCGCGAAAGAATTTGTCAAATTTTGTTCGGGTTTCGGCGGGGCGAACTAAATTCATCGAATTGTCTCGCTTATTCCTCGATCCTTTCTTCGATTTCAGCTCTTCAAGGGACCGAGGACGGTGCCATCGCACACTTCCCTTGAGATTCGAGAAGAATTTATTGCAAGACTTGCGAGATGTACGTTCGCGAAGATTTTCAGAGGACCGCGTCGCTCGACCGTCAGAATCGGATAAAAAATTGCTGTTCAAAGTACTCTCGTAGCTTCGTGTCAACTTAGCGGACTTGTCGTGAAGATCCATGGCTCTCTCGGTCCCTTCTTTCCCATAAATTGCAGCACCAATCAGATCGCCTTCGCTGTTACAGAGAGGTCTGGCAATTCGCATTCGCAGAACGTTCATTTTATCACCCGAATACGCGTTTGCATGCGGCACCAAGGAGTTCTCCGAGAGGGTGTCGTTGGAGCGATTCTTAGTGGTGGAATGAGAAATGTCTATGAACAGGCATTTGGGATGCCTCTCGCAATACTGACGAACCTGCGATCTGATGTCTTCCGAGGACAGAGAACTTTTGGCAACTTTCGACAGCGACAGCACGATGGAAGAATGAGGCGAAGGGGAGCGAACGGAAGGCAGGGAGGACGACAAAGAGTCGGAAGTTTTCTTCATTTTTTGATAGCCATCGTCCATATCGATCGACAGTAATTTTTCTCGAGGCGCTGCCTCCAGTTGATTCGTCAAATTCGATTGAATCGAATCGCCAGCCGTGAACGTTTCGTCATTCTCATTTTTTGTGGGAATTTGCACGTCTTGCTCCGGTATGAATAAAGGCGCATCGGCGTTATCTAGATCTGAGAACTGCTCGAGTTGTTCTGCAATTAGTTGCTGCTGTTCGAGCGAGAGTTTGGAGCTGCTATCTTCGATATTAACTTTTCCAGCTGGCACATTTTTTCGGCTTCCCGTTGGAAAGAAGGCTTTAGATTTGCTGCCATCAGTTGCGTCCTTTTTGATGCCAAGAAACATCTGATCTTTTTTATTATTACTCGATATGTTTTCAACTTTTGTCGAAGATATGTTTTTCTCGGATAAACTTTGATTTTTATCCTTGATAATATCCTCATCGTAATTTTCGCCCTTTGCCAGGACTGAACTTTCGTCAGCATCAATCGCAGCTTGTTCGTTCACTGGAATCCTGGCGATGGTGACTCGTCGAGCGCCGCAATGATGAAACCTACATTCCTCGATCGCAAAGTCACCATCCGCTTCGACGTCGACTAGAATAACGTTGTTGCGTCTGCCAGCCGAACAGATCCGACTTTCGTCTCCCTCCCTCACCAAGTCCGAATCCGATTTGTACTCCTTCTGCGCGTGACAAGGTCGGTGCAAATGCTCGTCGCCCTTGTCCGGCGTCATGATGTTCGGCTCCGACACGAACTGACGGGAGCCGTTCAACTTGGTGGACTTGAACTTGATCAGACCGGCGTCGCCGAGTTTCGAGAAGTGTTTCGCCAGCGCCGCGACTCTGCCGCACCCCAGGCGCACTTCCTCCGGCGACTTCCAGCACTTCTCCGTTTTGGACTCGTCGCTGGACACGTCGCTGTTCAGTCCGCTCAGATCGAGATGCAGCTCCGGCATTATCGTGTACATCTTAGGGGTCGAGATTCCTTCCTCGGCATCCCTGTCGGCTCTACCCGACGACGCGCAGTCGTCGTTAACTGTGGAACTGGACTCGTCCGCGCAATCCTCGGAATTGGAAGCATCCTCTAACTTGTCCTCATATCGTTCATCGACGTTCAACGTACGTTTCGCGGTATCCGCATCTTGAAGGCGCAAAATGTCATCCGACTTGGATTCCGCGGCGGAACCTGGCTCGGCGTCTTTCACGAACAGTACTGATTTATTCGCGGGGAACGAGCTAGCCGATAAAAAGTTCGGATTGTTACGCGTATTCAACTCGAAACTGGATTCTGGAACGTTTAGAGTCTGTTGCCTACTGCGATCTACATTCACGCGCTTCTGAGGATCGCTACGATCCTTAAGGTTGTCACAACCGGCTTTAATACAGTGCTCGCATCTGTTACTCGGTTTTGCCCGAACACACTCAGAGGATGACTCTGTGAAATTGATATCGTCGATTTGATCGATGTAGGGTATGTTATCGAAAAGATTTTTCTCGAAAGCCTGCGGCTGCGGCAGCAGCGAGTGTTTGTAGTCTCTCGTAGTTCCCGCGTACTCCCGCGGCGGAGTGGTGATCCTCTCCAACGGATTCAAACCGTCCGTCAAATAATTCGAATTACTCGTCGCGGCTCCACCTAGTTCCGCGTTACCCTCGTCCTCCTCTACGATCCTATCGTCACTCTCGTCGCTCTCGTCCTGATATATGATGGACGATATCTCATTGTCGCTCGTGATGGAGATCAGGGGACAGGGCATACGAGGCCTCGACAGACGCACGGGAGACACGGTGGGGGTGGAAGGACGATAGATGTGTTCTCTGTCGTCGACGGGATAGACAGCGGGATTCGCGCCTCTCTGACGGAAGATGGAGAACGGATCCTGCCGCGCGGAACGATACTCGTCGACGTCGATTCGTGGGAAACCTCGGTCGATCTGATTACGATAAAAGGATGTCTCGAGAACGCATTGAGACGGAATCGCACCTGGTTGAACTAAATCCTGCGGCGGTGCCTGCTTCGGGAGGGACAACAAGTCGCCCATCGAGTGTGACGTGGCCGGCTGTTGCTGATTGGTCGTCTCCGTTGCCTCTAAGAGCTCGGACCTTGGCCGAGTCTTATATGCTGCATGAAACAAGTGGTTAGTCAAGCGTTAGTAAAGCAGGCTCTTTACGAGCGAAGCGAAGCGAAAGGCGTTATTCTGACGCAGCGATTACTCGGATTAGAAAATGTCCGCTGGCGATCAATCTGGCCAGTATTTCCGTAGAAAATAGGACCTTGCTGACACGTGCGCTTGAAGCAAGAAAGAGATGAGCTTGATCGTTTGGAAGTTATTTTATACATCGTTAAATTCAATTTATAATAATTATTTTTTAATTACATCATTTTTGCATAATTTTATGCTTTTATTACTAACTATAAATGTACAACTTCTTAATTCTTTTAATTTCTGTCTTGGTATAAATAAATAAACAAGTTTATACTTGTACGGTAGGAAAAAAGTAGAAAAATTGAACTAATATTTTGTAAAATGATAAAATCATATGAATAAATATTTTCTCTTTGCAAGCTTATCAATTAAAAAACTGATTAGGTAGAGCCTAATTATGAGTCTCGATTATCTTTTTCTTGCTTCAAAGGCTAAATTAGTTCTGAAAATTATGGTATTAGCCATTAATCTTTTCGAACTTACCTCTTGTCATCACAGGAGATGGTTGAGATAGTAACGTTGCGAGTCCGTGATATATAGCGCCTTGCTTCGCAACTTCCAATGTCACAATCGGACCGGTACGCACCAGATACTCGGCAGCTCTGCACACGCGAATCAATTTTAATAATATAATATTTGAAAAGTGAAGGGATTTAAATTTAAATTATATTAAAGATTTTTTCGTACTTTTCCTGCGTAATTCCGACCAGACTTTGTCCGTCTACCTTGAGTAGTTGATCGCCTGCCGTCAATCTACCATCCTGGAAACACATAAAAATAAATTAACCGTTATAATATAAACATTTACTTTCAGAATTACTTTTAGTTTACTTTTATATGTAAGTTTCGATTTCATAATAATTGAGATATTTCCAATTTTATTTATTGTCTAGTTATTTTTAATTTCAAAAAAAGTCTGAATTCTAATCTATTCATATTTAACAAGAAAGAGTAATGTAACATTCAATTTAATTTAAAAGCATATGAAAACGTATTAAAACTTGTCACATCAAGCAAAATGCTATCATGTATAAAATATAATTCAATAATAATTAATATACATTAATTATCATACATTTCAAACTCGATTTTGATATCGCGCATTAACTGAAGTGTTTCCAAATAAATCGTCGGTTACTTACAGCATCGGCAGCACCACCAGCAACAACACTCTTGATGTAAATACCCAATCGATCTTGCCCCGCGCCCTGCGTGTACCAGAATTAAAATAACAGATTTAATATAATTAAATTATAATAAATAAGTACGCGCAGCTAAGAATACGCACCTTTGCTGCAACAATACTTAAGCCCATGCCGTTGGTACTCTTGTGCAATTTAATAACATGTATCTCAGGTTGAGCTTGGTTTTGATTAATGTGACCGATATAGCCACCCGACCTGTTACTCATTGCGCTAGGACTGCGCAACTGTAAAAAATTAAAAAAAACTGCACATAAAGATATTTGTCTACAATTATTAATTCAATTGTAAAAATGTAATACATATACGAAGATGACGGATTATAAGCGCGATAACGATTTGCTTATTAATTAGTTTTTGTATTTAAAAACTATGCAGATTTTTAAAGTTAAAAAAATTTGTAGCTTACATTGTTGTGGTGATCTATCATGTAAATGGTCCAATAGCCGCTACTGGTGGGTTGGGCTGCCATTCGACATAATCCGTCTCGTTGCAGGGGTGCCAGAAATTCCGCTAGTCCGGGTGGAACACCTCTTATTACTTCGCAACTGTAACCATCCTCGGGAAGTAGTAATGCCAATCCTAGAATGGGTTCCTCTTCCAGTCTTATTTCGCGGCCGTCTGCACGCGCGAGTGTATCCGCGACGCTCTCTGCTACCTGTGACACGTAAAATCGAGCGTGCGGAGAATAGTAATATATTTTACGTAAAATGATATTTTATCTCAGCAAGGCGCAAACGCAGATTATTAAATGTACTCACTCTCACCACGTTCTCGATCAGTTCGGCAGGTAATCTGGGCTCATCCGCGGCCGGTTGGTATTTTTGCAGTAACGCCCTCACCTGCAGAGAATTCAATTTAAAACAGGTCGAGCTTAGCGTGGCCAGCTCTTCAGCATTGTACTTGGGAGCCTGCAGTAAATGAGTCGCCTGCATGATGGTCGCCAAATGGCACTGGCTGGCAAGTTCCAAGCCCTGCCTCTCGGCCCAGGTCTCCAACGCGTTCAGCCTCGCTTTGAGTCTACGTCCGAACCATCTGACGCACAGATTTCCGTTCGAGACGAGGGTGTTGAAGGCCGTGGCGTTGATCGCGTGAAACAGATGACTGAACAGCTGTATCGTCAACGCGGCATTCACTCGACATCGTCGCAGTAGGGCCATCGTGTTCGAGAAGATCTGCAGCACCCCGGCCTCCTTCGCCGGCTCATCTGCGTCCGCCATGAACTGCGTCATCGCCGGTGTGAGCTCTAACGTGACGCAGCGCACCAACGAACCGAAGGCCGTGTGCACCGCGTCCGCCAGGATGTCTTGCGCCCGCGTGGAAAATGCGCCCACGTGCCGGTCGCTCTTCAACATGTGTAGCAGCTCCGAGCCGTTCGCCAACCAGAAGGCCAACGACGAAGCATCCATGTAACGTTCCTGGGAATATAATTTTCCTTAAGATTCCATTATGGATTCCACACATGATTATATATACGAATAGCCATTTGTGCCGCAATCGTATTTTTATCAGATATCTGGAACACGTTTCTTTTTATTAACTTATTCATGAGACATTGAAATAATTCAGGAATGTGCCGAAGTTTACACAGGCCAGTTCCAAATCAGGCGTTGCTCGAAACAGAAGGACGAAATTATTCACGTGGAAAATACCTGGATAACGCGTTGGATCATGGTAGCGACATTCGCCAACATGACGGTAAGTCGATGCGCTCTTTCCGTGGGCTGCAATTCTGGTCTGTAATGCGTGCTCGCGCGATATCTGGCGCTGAGATAAAGGGTATAGGTTGGCGCCAGCTTGAACTGTGGCGCCGAGGGCTCTACATCGGTGATGACAGCGTGAAGGAACGTCTCCTCTGTCTCCTCGAGAAACTCCAAGACAGCTGGTAGAATCGGATCCGTGCCTCGCGGTTGTCGATCGTATTGTGAGAGTCTGCCAATAATCGATAGGCGTTAATTTCCTTTTTTTTTTGCTTCAACTATTCAAATTTTCAAATCTTCGTTTTTAAAAGAAAATATTAGTACACAAAAATATTTCGAGAAAAAATAATTTAACGGCATAAATTCATACATTATATAATATTTTACAGTTTCTTTAAATATGAATAATTCTATGGATATACTTATAATATATTGTAAGAAAACATTGATAGTGTACATTCTACAATGCATTGCTATTAAAAAAAAAGCGCATAATAATTGTGCATAATAATAAACTAAAAAGACAACTAAATTGGTAAGCTGTAAATGTAAAGTGATCGAATTATAACAAATTATAAAGAAATAAATCTTCAAATTGCGACAGTAATTAATTACGTCGAGCATACTTCTTCAACATTTTATAAGAAATTAATGGAAATTTGTTAAGAAGTTTCACTTCGTAATTGCTCCTGATAAAGATCTCATGATAAAGATCCTTGTATTATTATCGAAGCCTTTCATTATAAATACGACTTTAATATATGATAACAATCTCTAAGTGTCTTTTTTTTATTAAGCATAATAACTCGTCGTAGAATCATCGATTTTGCTACCTGTTGCCATCCCTGCTGCTGCTCAGACTAGCGGTTTCCACGTTTCCATCCAAGTCGAATGTGGTCTCGTAATTGTGCGTGGGCTCCGGCGGGTGCGTGGGACTACGTGGACTACGAACTGCTGCGACAGCGGACTTCGAGGGGCTCGACGGGGCCGTCCGCTCTTGGGTCTGACCCGGGATCTGGCCACCGCCGTTCGGTGTACCAGACCCCGGGTGAAACTTCTCCGAGCTGACGTCCTGACTGGTCGCGTCCGGCGAGCGTCTATCGTTACGCGCATGCGAAGCGAGCATCACGACGGGAAAAGCAAATGTAAAGCATATCAAGCGAAATAAATAAAAAGGTGGTAAAAATAGAAATAAAAATCCGTGGGAAAATGCGATTCGATGTCTTTAACAAGATACAGTTGAAGGTGGAAAATCTTTGATAAAATGTGATAAATATAGAGATTAATATCAAAAATTCTTCTAATCTTCTCTTTTTTCTTTATTAGAAAAATTTATACTATATTTCTCAATTTCTAATATTTATTGAAAGCTCTCCATACTTTTATCGCAATTAATTAATAAAGAACTTTAAAATTCAGGTAAACTAATAAAAATCTATATAAATGAGATGTAATGCAATTTGGTAATAAGAATATCTGATAATTATAATGAAATAAATATGAGTACTATTGTTCTAAGTGCATTCACATTGAAACACATAAAGAAACATGTACTGACTAAATCGCAACGAACGTGCAACATTCGTGCGCCACGTCTATTCTCATCTGATTGCAACGACGGGAGAAAGGAATACGAGTTTCAAACTTACCGGTCATAAGCGTAGTCGATCTGTTTGTTGGAATCATGTCTCTGCCTAATGCGATCTTCCGGCGCCGGGTCGATGAATCGAAATGTGTGCATTCTGCCGAATTTGATGATAGCTCCATTCTGCAAGCAAAAGAGGCTTATTATATTTGCTCTTCAAATCAGAACGCCAAAAATTCAATAAAATTTAAAGTACAGAAAATTTTAATTTTATTGTACGCAAAATGAAATTGTAAATTATAGAATTAAATTTCGTTTTATTTTATATAAAATATATTTAAAATTAAATAAAATTTTATTTAATTTTTTTATTTAACGTTAAAAAGAGTAATTAAAAGTTACAAAAACAGGCATACAAAATGCGAACACAAATATATCTCGATTGCAAAAACAGACCGGAAACGCACCTGCAGAATGGTCGTCTGATGTATCCTCTGATTGTTAACGTACGTGTGCGCGTCTCTGGAACACGGCGTGAGAGTCACAATGTTCTCGGTAAAGGCTATAACGCAATGCCTGGGCATCACCGTCGGTCCCGGCAGCGTCAGCGTCTGCGCTTGCACCGCTTGCGGTCCTATCGGTCTCTCCGACCCGACCTCCGTGACATTCGGCTGTAACCGGTGTCGCACTCCGGCGCCGTTCGGGATATCGCTGCCGTCGGGATTAAGCTCCAGCAGGAATGGTAGCCTCTCGTCCTCGTATCTGTGAAAAGCAAACATTTTTATAAAGAGCATTTACTCGTTAAAAGATTAAAGATCTTTTAACAGTTCATAAGATCATCATCGAGATATGGCCGATTAATGAGGGACTAAACATTTAAATTATGGATAAAGAAAGCCGGGCAACGTCTGATGTTCTCTGCATAAAAATGTTTCTAAAACCGACGTACCTATGATCCAACTCGTTCCACTTTCCGGCTGGTTTCTTTTTACGTTTCCGCGGCATGTAATCTGCGGGCCTCCTCCTCACGTGAAACATAATAGAACCTGCAATAAAAATGCATGGCGTATAAGATTTTATTCGAGCACATCAATGGAGAACAAACTATGCTATGTGTATACATATATATATATATACATATATATATATATTCATTGTCTCTAATCCTTCACCGACGAAATACTGTTAAAGACCGTCAATCTGGAGAGTCTATTCTGAAACTTTTAATTTAACATATGTGTTATGTTATATAACGCATGAGTTACATTTTAGAGATATGTAACGCATGCGTTAAAAATTTTCAGAATAGGCCCTCTGGATAAATTTTCGTGCCAAAGGGCTCGAAGGGGCCAGAGATAATTGCAGAATGTCAATGTTATCCACTATTGACATAAATTTGCGATTATTAACATAAACGTTTGAATAATACAGTATTAAAATCACGATTTTTATTATTTAAATAATTTATAAATAAGTACAAATATTTATAATATACTATATCATTGCCACAAAATTACAATTTTTTTTTCTACCGTTATCATTTCTCTGAATAATCAAACATAGATGATAACTATAAAAATGCAGTTATAAATAAAATTAACTATTAGCAGGATGTAATACAGATGTACAATACAATGTACATGTCTTAAAAAAAACTAGTCTAATAATATAAATCATAAAATTTATATATTATTGGCTAATTACTTAAATTTTAGCAATTGCTAAACAGTCACGCTAAATCCCGTAAGAATGTCGGTCTTTAATAGTATTTCATCGGTGCTAATACATATATAAATTATAAAATCGTAAAAACAAACAAGAATTATACGAGCTGAGGAGTACAAGTCATAAAAATATAATATAGACATTTACAACAACTTGTCGAAGAACAAGAAATATCTCTCAAGAACTGACATACACACAAAATTCTCTAAATTTTCTGAAACTGACTATAAAGTTGACATAACGAAATTAATAGATAAATAATTCGTCAATAAATAAAAACACAGATGGTAGGCGTAATGGGCGTAATGGAGGGCATCAAAGATTTTATCGGTATAGTTCTGGGAATACCGAAGGGTGAGAGCGGTGTGGGAAGAAAGAAGGGAAACGAAAGGAAAGAAGGGGGAAGGGAACTTCTCCATCGGCATCGTATGAGCGTTCGTCGTTGACTTAAAGATGCGTGGCGTATAATAATCGCGCATGAGAAGCTTCGCGGTAAATCGTCGAATTAGTATGATGGGCTAGATAGCGATCGTGCATTTTTTTTCTCTCGCGTTACAGTACCACCGTGCGTATCCTACCGCGCGACGCACGTGTGCGTGCTTCGAGGCACACACACGGTGGCTTCTCACGGAAGAAAACGGAAAGGGAGAATGACTCTCGGCTTCGGGTCAGCGCGCCGCACAGTCATTGCACCCGCCGTCGCCGGCGTTTTCATCACGTTTTCCCTCGTCCTTGCTTCTGCAAACGGCGCCGCCGTCGTGCTTTTGACGGTGATTCCGTCCAGCATTATGCACATTTCGACAAAAGGAAAAAAAATCGCTTTCTCCCAAAACCCGGAAAGAAAAGTAATTCCGCGGTAATTTCTTCATTCACTGATTATAATTTCAATTTACGAAATATTCTATTACGAAATAATCTATAATATTACGTTAAAATTCTTAAAAATTTGTTTAAAATTGTAAAAAAAGGATACTTTTACTTTTCTGTATCATGTAACTACAATTACATGCTGCAAAAGAGTTTCATTCAAAAGCCAAAATTATTTATATCGTTAGAATGTTCATCGAAAGAAAAATTTATTGCAAAAAAATTAATATTTAGAAGATCAAAAATTATTGATATCTATTGTAAGAACTTTCAGTCCTCGAAAGAAATTTGTAAAGATTAACGTTACAATATCAAATGTCGAACTTATCGCAGAGTTATAAATTGAATTGTAGAAGTTACGGACAATTTATACCACCATCTGACGCTCATCGAGTTTAGCAATCTCGAAGTCTCGAAGGATTTCAGAGTTCCTAAGAAGCACAAATAAGCGTCCGATATTCGAGAATAAAATTCAGCAAGTTTCGCGAAGTTCTACGATTCTAGAGGATTTAATCGCAGAATCGGATTTATAATCAAATCTCGCAAACTTCAACTCGTTGAACATTGTACAATGATGGAATCAAATTTGTTTGAAACGTTCCAAAAGCCAAAGGGTACAAATTCTCGTTGAAAGTACACGGGACACTCACCTAACATCACCTCCGCCTTGCCACTTCGGCGTGGTTTGAATGACCAAAGTCCGATCATGTAACACTTCTCGATCGACGATTCACGAGTAATAACATGGATTTACAAGTAATAACGTATAATCACGAGAAGATTTCTATATAAATCACAACCGATATTTTATCAAACAAAAATACAACTTTCTGCAGAACGAGTTTTCCACTTCTTCATTTTGAATATTATATTTTAATTTAACAAAGAACAATCCTCGGAGGTTTTATCTTGTAATCTTCATTATTGTCGACTATACGCTTCTGTGTTAATAATTGTACGTAATTATTTATCAAGTATTTATAAATTTAATACACTGTATAACAAACTGTTTTTGTGAAATTAATAACGGAATTATGTTTCGTGCGAAGCTATATTAGAAAACGTTCGTAGATAAGATATTCATAAACGGTGCATGAAGTAAAAGTATATCATTCAGAATAAAAAAAATTATATAAAGCGATAAGCATAAAAACGATTAGCTTAATGGGCTGAATTTTCCGAGGACATCGCAGATAAAGATCTGCTTCACGTAGATTTTCCTAGAATGATACATTTGTAAATAGATTACTGTAAAATAGCTTTATAAAATACAAAGTTCTGGGAACAATACAGAAAACTTCGGCACACATCATTAAAATGCACGTGTTGTACATAGTTTCAACCTTTTCAGTTCGCGGCAGTAAATGTCAATGTTACATTGCAAAAGATTTGCAGACACTACAGACGCAGTTAGCTCAATAATCACGTGTAAGAACCAAATAAATAAAAACGGCTCGATATATCCGACAATCTTGAATTTAAAAATGATCGAAAATCTTTATATTGTATTGTAAGTTTTTGTAAATAATATCTTCGCGTTACTTTCGTTCGTTATCATGATTCTGCTGATAAAAATCGATTAATTAAAAATTCAATCGATCTCTTTGCAGGAAAATAATGCGATTGGACGAAACATTTTTCTGATCAAAACAACTTTATTGAATTTTATTGTCGTTCTTTAATTTTAATTATGTGCTGTGTAAATTTATTATTTATATTCTTCACGCGGTATATTATTTTTATTAAATTTCTAAATAAATTGTGCTTTATTAATGTGTAAATTCTAATCGACTAAGAAACAACACAAAAGAGAGATATAATGATGTTAGAGGCCAACAAGATTAAAGATAACGTAATTAAGTAACGAGTTTCACACACGCACTATTGGGAATTAATTAATTCTATTTTTAATCTGTATCTATACGCGGATTAATATAGGCACCGTTTAAAATGTCGATAAAATTTCAATTTTTTTTAAAACGAAGATAAATCGCCCTTAAACACATTCGATAAATCGCGCACTACATACGAAGAAGATTAATCGGTACGTTTTTTTATTCCACTTTCGTAATCATCGTAAATCGATAAACGCAAGTGAAAAATGTTAATTGTTCACACATTGTAATTATTCGCGTATCGTGAAACAGCTATACGCGAAAGCGAAAGCGTAACACCTTTAATGTCCGTGACGCGCAGGACGATACTCTATGCGGTTCGCCCGTTAAAACAACACTGGTGTGTAACTTCTTGTTACTTTCTGTCCCGTACAACACACAGGTGTATATAGGAGCAAGAATACGATAGAGTGCACACGTGAGACCGGCGCAAGCGTGTTGACGAGTGTCCCTTGCACTATACGGAACTATAGCAGCCGCTTCATTTATTCGCTGCGAAATTATTTATCAGCTTCCGCATTAAATCGAGAGGGATTCATGCGACGGTTAATTTTTAATGGAAAATAGGGACAAGGAAAAAAAACGTTGAAGGAAAATGTATGCTTATAATTAGAATCGGCTTATGTATTGATAGAGAAGCATTCATGCAATAGTCTTAATTCTTTACCGATAGAAAGAAAACACAATTATTTTTTTATGTAATCGGCAGGCAATACTTCTTCTTTTACTAGACTCTAAATTAGTAATCTACAATTATTGATACTTCTTTTGATTTGATCTTTGATGTCTACATCTACAGACTCTTCTTGAACAGTATTCTACATAATCTTGATACACATATACGATTCTGTTTTCATGAATTTATAAAATTTATATTGTCTATCATAATATAAGTAAAAACTTTTCTGCTAATTAAATAAACAAAGACGTTGACATTAAAATCATGACATTAATCATATCTGACAAATAACGTTCATCAAATAATAGTCTGCATTAATAATATATACCCTGATCACTGAAAAGGGATTTCGTTTTATAAGACTTCCACGAAATTAGTTTGACTTCATTATCGGAAAATTAAAAGAAAAGTACTCTCACAAATATTTTTCATTCATATCAATCTATATCTAATGTTCACGTCAATAAAAAGCAATTTGAAATAGTACACAATTTTTTAGATATAAAGATTAGTTTATCTATAAATTGTCTATTTAATTCTTGTAAATACACAACATATTTCTTTACTTCTTCTTTTTACATTTATACATAATAATAAAACACTGGATTTAAAATTTCAATGCAATGACTATAATATTTATTAAGATAATAAATTTTTCAAATAAAACATTTGAAAATCAGTTATTCTAAAATTAGTCACATCATCTTTATACGACTAAGATTTTTAATAAATAAAAAACTTATAATTTTTTACAATATCTTCAAATATTTTTATTTTTAAAATTTCAATCTATTTCTTAAGAAAATTTCCTATAAAACTCTTCTTTTAATTTACAAAGAACTTAAGAAATATTATCGCATCATTTAATTTGTAAAGCTTTGAAAAGTTGTAATCCTATGAGAAAATATTTGGATAAAACTTTATCACAGAAATTGTACTCCATTTAAAAATTATTACACTTCTCTCTCTCAAGCGTATTAAATAGACTTTAGACAGACTGATCTTCGAAGTACTTTATTTTAAATCATTTAGAAGTTAAAGCTTCTTTAAAAAAAATATGATCTCAAAAAATTCTCATAAATTAAAAATATTTAATATCTGTAAGAACACGTCATGATTATGGCGTTAAGATTTTATTTTTATTAAAATATTTATTTTAAGATTATACGTAAGAAAAAACTAATTTGGAAAAGATGGAAAAATGCTAAAGCCTCTTTAAAACATGATCTCGAAATTCTCATAAATTAAAAAAATTTAATATCTCTAAGAACATATCATGGTTATGAAGATTTTATTTTTATTAAAATACTCATTTCAATATATGTAAGTAGAAATTTATTTGGAAAAAAAACAGAAAAATGTTAAATCTTCTTTAAAATAGTCTCGAAATTCTCATAAATTAAAAAAATTTAATATCTCTAAAAGCACATCATGATTATAACATTAAAATTACATTTTCATGAAAATACTCGTTTCAAGATTGTACGTAAGTAGAAATTGATTTAGAAAAAACAAAAAAATATTCATTTGATCCATATATCTATACGTGCATAAAAATAATTGTACGAGATTCAACTGAACTCCTTCGTAACTAAAATCGTTAGCATGAAGTTCCGACGACTTAACCGCCCTGGTTGCGGTCCGAATCGTTTCAATCGGAAATCGCGGTTCGTCATCGCCGCGCTCGCAATCGTGAAACTGGAAATTTCGCTTCGACGAGGAGCAACACGTCGAAACGATCGGGATCGGCGCACGCGACTACTTCACCGCCAGGCGGAAAGGAGAAATTACCCGAGGTATTTTTAGAAAAACGAAGGTGGCACGCTAGTGCTCGAATGTAGGTCGACATATAACGCAGGTCGTTCCGGCGTTTTATTGATTTCCCGCGGACCCAATTCCGGCGTGCACACGCCGTCGCACACGACTTGCCGTCGTGCGATGCGTACGGGATGTGCACGACGCAACGTGAAAAGATCGCGTGAAATCGGCGTGCACCCATCCCTTGACCTTCCTCCGTCCTGCCGGCCCCTTCGGTTCTGCACCCTTCGAGCGCGTAAAACCTGCCTAATCCTAAAGAATGACCAAGAAAAAACACATTCTCTTGGTCACATACAGCTATAACCAGTATTTCTCTTCCCCTTTAATCTTCATTTTAATAACCTTGTTATTAAATAGATAATGGTTGGTGTCGTGAAATGAGAAAACTTTACACCGCAACGATATCGAACATAAAATCGACATTTCTCTCTGAAATTACGACGGTCTTGCAGATAAATTATCTGCATCCTGTTACGAAGATTTATGTGTTCTAATGATATCTGATATTATCTTTCGGGCTATCGTCTTTTGATGCAACGAGAAATATACATGCAAACAAGACAGGCTGCAAACCTTGTTAACAGTTATGAGAAAACTCAATAATGCGCAAAATTTGTACATGTAATAAAACTGAAACTCTTGTTGCTCTTAACGATCATTCTTCTGCAGTAAAAAGCAGACGAGTACGGTCGAGGAGAACGTATCTTACAGAAATGAAATAAACGGGGGAGAAAAAAATAATAATCGCCGCTAAATAACTTTCAAGTTTTCAACATCGCTAATTTACAAGTAAGGACGTTCAAATAATATAAATTCCAACAAATTAACATTGGCTATAGGTAACATGGAATCACATCAAGAAGAAACTTCAGCCTCATATGCGTCATGCATGATTCGGTCAGCTTAATAGGAGCTTACGTCGTATTCCCCAATCCATCATGACGAACGCCTTATTTAATTAAATTTCGTGGTCCCTTCGTCAATTATTGCTGCTGCTGCTGCTGCTGCTAAATATTGGTCCCCTCTTTGTTCCCTTCTTTCGTTGCTCCGTTTCTTCCCCGTGAAACCTGAGAATCCGATGGCCCCTCAAGCTGGTCGGGCGAATCTTATCAGTTAATTTGTCGGCGGACGTTTTAAGACGTATAATCAAATCTCTTCGGCATCAATTCTCGCTACAATGCTGACGAGCGCACAAAGCGAATTGACTCGAATTTATCCTCAATCTATCCCTATATCGTACTCGATGTTTGATTTATATGCTGGCGGCATCCGTCCAAACTTAGACTACAAAAGCAAGGCCTGGAGGACCGTTCGTATATGCTTCCTGTCTTTATAAATAACATATATAGCTCAATGGAAGAAATTATAAATCTGCTCAGCTGGTCGTGTTCTTAATTGAATCTCGTTGTTAACGTTATACGGATATGATGATCGACAGTGGTGATGATTGGTACACTTGAGAAAGATATCGATGTGCTCGTTCAGGTACGATCGCGTTGATAGTCATGTAAACACGTCACGGCGATGGTCGCTGACGGTCACGTTGAAACGTTGCTCCGCGATGACATTCCATAGCACAACATTGAATCGCGCCGATATTGACCGTGGTGAATCGTGTGGTTCTCCAAGAGATCGCAGGATATTTACTGGTCTACGGATTGTGCGATTTATGAGAAAGCCGTATCGACGATAAAGAGAGTTCGCTCGGGATGTCATAGCGACGCGTAACGATAGGTCAATAGTAGACGTCGTCGTCGTCGTCGTCGCGTGCAATTGACAGCGCAGACTGTTGAATTGGTCTCTTCGTTGTTCATGCAAAATGCGATATTTAACGTTGCCGATGAGCTTAAAGAATAGGCGGATAACGCTCGCGCGTTAATTCACGTAATAACACATCGGGATAATCTGTAATGATCACGCGATAATTAGCGATCAGATAAAGTTCCTTCGGTATTTCCCGGGGGTATCCTGTAATAGCCATAATAAACCGCCGCCGTTCGCCAGAAGTGTAATCGACGATGACGAGTCGATCGTCTCTGATTAGGTCGACTTTGAGGCTTGCAATCAGCTGGTGTCGTGTATTATTAGTCAAGGAGACACCTGCGCACTTCGCCAAGGTTTCTGCGCGATTTGTACAATTTTTTTATGATGCCTCGGTAATGATAGGCCAATCGAATTCTTTCGTACCGCTCGCATCTAAGTTATGCATGTGATCGATAGTCGTTTCTTTCCTTCACGTGAATTACGAGACAATATCGCGTTACTACAAATACATCATGTTTTCGTAATAAGGTTCAATTACGTTGGACTATGACTACTAATGGCTTAATTAGTAGATCGTATTTGGAGATGGTCCTTCAGGAAATTGCGCAGAGTGACCGGACTATGCGGGCTTAAATGGATTTACTTTCATCAATTCACTCCTTTCTCTTGATATGTCGAGGCGTTCGGGTTCGATGACGCTGGTCATTAACGCCTCGCACGCCTTCGCGTGTATAATCGTATTTACCCCCTCGGTCACGTACGCGGTTATTTATTCCTTCGTACGGCGCATTATCGCGATCGTGCGAGTGGGTGGTTCCACTACTTTCGCTGCTACGAAAAAAAGTCTTTGATACGTCGATGATGAGCTAATTGTGTTCGATGACGCCACGCCTCGGACTGCCTCGCGTCGCATTATGTGCGTGTAATTGTAAGTTTACTATTTCGCTTCTTCGTGCAATTGCAAAGGAGTGTTGCGGGTGCCGTCCGGTGGGTGGATCCAATTTTGTACTCCAAATCCTCCGCTTGCGCTTCGATAAAATCGTGTCGATGTGCGACTATTAATATGTTGCGTCGTATTTATACATTTTGTCGCAAAGAATAACACGTCTATTTACTCGGTCGAGGCTACAACGGAACACCAAACGCGTGGGCGAGTACACTTTCGTTCGGGCAGAACCCGATGACGACTGACGAAACTCCGGGTTCGACATGCAACTGTTTTTAAACAAAATAATCGAGCAACTAATTGATGTACGGATTACTGTTACGAAGAAGGCAACGCGGCGCTAAATCTTCACATATTTCACGCAACGATACGCTGGCACAATTCTAATTCCGTCTCAGGGTGAGATTAACGGCTTGCTCGATTCGTTGCACGAATTTCGGCGCACGAACGACTCAATTGTCGGGCATCGCGGGCAATTATTTCGCCGTGAATGACGATGTCGAAACGAGGGCAAAGACAACGACAAGGCGGCGACGACGGCGCCCGCGCACTCGCGCCGGTACCGACGACATGAGCCAACTGAGGCGATGTTGGTGTCGAGTTGTTCTCCTTGCCACCCTTACGTCCCCCGTCGCGATCTACCCTCTGTCCGTAACGGTTCCCTCCTCTCTCCCTCTTCTGTCGCCCCCTCTCGTCGAACTTTCACCCTTATCTGACATTAAAAGCTCTCCTTTTTACGCACAATCTCATAAATTTAATCCGTACTTTAACGCGGCCCGCTGTCTTCCTATAGCCGTCTTTCTCATTAAACTTTTGCTCTCATCTCGTGAATTCTGACGTCAATCTTTTTCATCAAATCAATCCTGCTTATTTTATCCCCTCATTTCTGTTTCAAGAATTCTTTCCTCCTCCGCGCCTGTTAACTTCTATTATCTTCTTCCACCATTCTTTTCCGCCATAGATATACGCAGCTCTTCCGTGATAATTTTTTTTTAATTAGTTATAATTATTTTTAAAATTTCTATATTTAATGAATACGATTTAAATTAGTTTAATAAACTCTCTCCGTGTACCTAGTTTATTATTCTCGTGTAATATACGTATTTCAAAATTTTTACTTTACTTCATGCAAACAATGTTCATTATCTAATATTAATTAACTTCTTAACATCTTTTAAATTCAAATTAAGAATATATCTAAAATTTATATAAAATAAATTTAAAAATTAAATTAATTTTCGTATTAGCAAAAGTAAAGTTTGTAAAAAATTCTTTCTCCCCTTCTCGTTGAAGAATTAATGCTGTCATAAGCCTCTCAAAAGATTTGGATGTAAAAATAAGTAGATCTGTTGTTGAATCATTATTGATGCACTTTATAAAAAATTATTATTACAAGAATTTAGTTTTGAGCGTCAAATTAAAACTAAATTCTCGATAAGAATTATATCCAAAGACGAAAAGTATAATTGCAAATGGACAAAGATTAATTTCGAGTAACAATTCTAGAGAGTTAAATCATAATAAACATATTTGGGTTATACTAAGCGCTTTCGGCGACAAAACTATTTAAACCTAATCGTATCCACTTTCCTCTTTTTCCATTTGTAGTTAGGGTATCATATACACACAAAGTTGCTCATCAGAATTATGCAACGATTGTGCAGCTAAGCATAAAACATTGATGTAAATGTAAATTCTTACCTCGCGTGGAAGGATGATTCATTAATATTGCCAAAGGGCACTCGTCGTCGTCCAATATGTACTCCTGATGCGCATTGCCACCCACGTTCTCGCTATTAACCTGTATCATAAGAAAACAGTGATTTGTACAACGTGTGCTTTTAACAGAAAGTATCCGATGTTTGTGTATTTACAATTTCCAGAAATTTGAACACAATTAAACACAATTAAATGTTAAATACACAAATGCAGTGTATACTATTGTACAAAGAATATTTTTGTCTACATTTGTCTGCAACATTTACACAGCTAACAAAACACTTTTTTTCTATATTTCCTCAATTTTCATCTTGATATCATGAGGACAGTTTCCTTATCAGTTATACTTAGTTTAAATTAAATTAAAATATATTATTTGACAATTTTCTGTTTTTATTAACTTCATAGATATGTTGCAAACTATTAATACGCTTATCTCATGATTGTAATTACCTTGCATTTCTTTCCTTTTTTAGTTTTATAGTACTTTTCCTTTAATAATAATTATTATATTAGTTATTTTGTATAAAATATATGTACATATAAAATATGAAAAATTGTTTTATACAAATATTTATATTTTTCTCTTTATTTTCATTTTTTTTAATCATTATGTATTTGACAAATTAAAATATCTTGTAAAATTTAATTTATAGACTGAATGTCGTATATCTTTTAATTTTCAGCATTAAATATCTTAGTAATTAAATTCAATTTAACATCACTTATTAAATTCCAAAATCACGTTATAGTTCAGAGATTCAATAAAAAATCATCAAAGATGAATTTCTAAAATCTGCTAGATTTATCGCCATATACATATAACGATATTCTATCCGTGGATAAACGATGATCTCGTATGTACCTGCACAAGGCAATATAACTGCGGGTCCACTTTTTCCAGGCCGTATTTAGAAAGCATCTCTCGCACGACCTGAGCGGCGGAATCTCGCACGCTCAACAGCAGCGTTTTGTATGGCACGTCCTTGCACAACGCCTCGCCATAAATTTTCAATGTGCCGCCTGTGTCGGGACCGCCGTCTTTACTACGAAATTGCTGGAGCCTCCTTTCAAGCTTCTGTTGACGGCGGCGTCTCATCACCGCTTCCGGATTCGAGATGCTCCTCGTAAAACTGGTCTCCGGCAATTCTAAAAACGATAATAACATCATTAATATAGAAAAAAACATTCATATTAGTCGCAATAAGGACAGAAGTATTATTTTCATTTTCTTTCTATTATCTCTATAACACGATTAATAATTATTAAACTAAGATAATGGATTCATTGTACTTGACGTAATGCATTAAACTATTTTTAGAACTTGCATTAACTTTAGAAATAAATAGAACCTAATAAAAATTACTACTATACTATAATTAACTTCAAAATGTAAACTATAATTAACTGCAGAGTAAAAATAAATAATAATTCTTTTCAAGGATCTTCATAACTTCCATTTTTAAAATGTTTTCAATTAATTATTTTTCAAAAATTATATTTATACATATTTATTGTTATTTATATTCACGAATTATTTAATCTTTTAATAACTTTACTTAAAATATTATATAATATATAATAATAAAATATTATATAATATATAATAACTTACTTAAAATATTATATAAACAGTCTAAAAATACATAATGTTTACGGACCCGTATAAAGTTTCTCGGCAACACCGTTCTGATCGCCAGGCGCCGCGTTTTCGTCCTGCTCCAAGCTCTTCAGTCGACTGAGCTTCTCCTGCTTCTTGATCTGTTTTTTCTCCCGCTTGCTCAGCTTTCTTCGGAAGCTAGAACCCTCGGCTGAAGTAAAACCGACGCCCTGCGCATTCGTCTTATCGTCGATCCTCTTCAGCAAGAAGCGCCCCTCCCGATCATCTATATGCCAATTTAGTTGAACTAGCAGTGGCTTCTCTTCTAAATCAAGCTTACGCTCTTCTGTAAACAAAGTTCCATACACACGGTATTAAAACACTTTAGAAAAAAAAAATAACACGATATAAAAGATTAAAATTAATTACAGCTCTCCAACTCGAAAAAAAAAAAAACATTAATTCATATGCAATTAAATGTAAATGTATAAGCTTTAAATAGTATAATGCAGTTTATAGACACTTGTGGTATATTATAAAAATACACTAAAGTATATTAATTAAAGATAAAAAGATGCGGTCTCTTTAGAGGAGCTATTTAAATACATGTTATAATTCAAATATATGTAATTCACTTTTTAATTTAATCCAATTATATAAAAATTCTAGCTAAATATACAGTTTTAGTTTAATCATATAATTTTTATTTTTTTTTGCGATTTAAAAACGTAATCTCGACAATTTAACTCACCTCCATTCTCGTGAATCTCGTAAAGAGCATATTCCGGGATGGACAGCATTCTCATGTCGGGACGAAATTTTTCTATGAGCGTTTCTATCACCGCCTGGCTGGTCGCGTCCGAGGCGACCCTGATGCACTTGGTAGCGACCTTTTGGCCGCTGTCTTGGAAATAAAACCTCATCACGCCGTGAAACTCCAGATCCTGTCAAAGAAAAAAAACAAAAATTAATATAGCTCGATTAAGCTTGCGGAAGAGGCAATCTTGTTACTGTTTGTATAAAATAAAACAATCTACATGCTTCATTTGCGATCACTCACTTCGTTGGGCTCCGAAAGTTCGAACAGGTCCAAGCGATTGGCGTTCCATTGCTGTATGACCCCCCTGAGAGCCTCCCGCTCTGCCTTTTTATTCGCCAGTTCCGTTGCCATCCTGAAAAAACACGACGAACGGACGTGTATGTAATTGCAATCAGCCGACACAGTTACAGAAATTGTAGAACGACCGGCATTGCTCAACGCGTCACGATTCCTTGAACCGCAAGCCGCATAATCGCAAACTTCGCTTTTTTTAATGAAAGGACCAAGTGAATGAAAGGAATATTACTTTAGAAATTCTCGCGTATAATATCAATCTCAACGATTACATTATAACGGAATCAAAAATATCCTGTCGTTCCTTTAATCAAGTACAAGTTCCCATCTCGGACAGCCGCGTAGTCCGTCCGTTGTTTCCAGAAACCGAACTTATAAATCATCGGGAAGCGCGCGGAGAATTTTTAATTCAGCTTTCCAAGAAACACACGCGAGCGGCCGCGTGCTTTGACGCTCTCTTTCACGCCCCTTCCTCGTGGCGCGGGATTGCTCGCCAAAACTGGCACCGTCTGTTGTGATACCACGAGATAAATTATCACAGCAAACGTAAAGCACGAGGCGTCTGTTCTTGGTGCGCCAGGCAGCCCTCGGGGGCTATCGCGTTCGGTGTGTGTTATGATTCTCGCTGTGCGGCACGAGTGTCGGATGCATGCGGTGCATCCAGAAACCGAACCCCTATACTCCTCGAATGCAAACGATACGAGGTGCTCGAGAAAGACGCTCACGATAATTTACGATAATTTGATCGCCAACGCGATCGTCCAACGTTAACGTTAATTAACCAAGGCCAATCATGCTCGGAGTCAACTAATTAAAATCGGCGAGTAAATTATTCTCGACCGATCGATTTTAACTTCGCTCGCTTAACTATATAATATAAGAGTGTTAACTTTATTAGCTGGCTGGTAAAGGTTGAAAGTTCTCGCCAAGGCTGACCATATGGCGACACTAATTAACTTGAATCTTAGCTAAAACCGAGAGCCCCGCACGATCCCGAGCCTCGGCGTTTCCGGGGACACCGAGACGATCCTCGAGAGGCAGTCACGTGCCGCGCATTCCTGGTCGCCCCTCCCCGCCGTACCACG